AAATAATAATTTTGGTTTATTTTAGGTACATGTTTCTTCACTCCTGTAATCGGTGGATGGTTTGCTGACGTTCTGCTTGGGCGCTATAATACCATATATGGGTGCTCACTGCTCTACGTAGTCGGTACCATTCTTCTCACGGCTACTACTTACAGCTACCCACCGGCCTATGGTCTACGCATGTTAAGTAAAGAAGGATTTTTAGGAGTGTCACTCATCCTTATTGCCATAGGAACAGGAGGAATAAAAGCTAACCTGTCTCCAATGGGCGCAGATCAAGTGAAGGAACAAGGGGAGCAAATGGTGCAGAAATTCTTTAATGCGTTTTACTGGTTCATCCAAATTGGTAGTATACTTGCTTTTACAGTTGTTGTGTACGTTCAACAAGAAGTGTTATTTTTTTACGGTTATCTGATATTAGCAGTTTCAATGACTTTAGCAACCATTCTGCTGCTTATTGGAAGAAGGAGCTACAAACTGCACCCTCCGGAGGGCAGTTACTTAACTGACACATTACGTATCATTGGTAAAGGCTTGAAAAACTACTTCTTTTGTAAGCGGAGATCTTCGGCTCTAATGAGCCACTGGCTTGATGGTGCAAAAGAATCAAAAGGAGGAACTTTCTCTGAAGAAATGGTTGAAGGTGTCAAGTCCGTGGTTCAGCTGATCCCGATCTTTTTAACTTTTATATTCTACTGGACAATATATGGGCAGGTGAGAGCGACTCTTTTGTAAACTTATTGCTTTTTCATGTCATTCAGCAATACTAAGGCTCTTATAGGAGCGCATGAAGAGGAGAATGTGTGACAATGGAGGCTCCTTATAGAACTTTTTGTTTCAGCCTGTTCCACATTTTCATTTGTTTTGCGGCGTTAATTAATCATGGTGGGGCTAATCCGACCACTCCTCAAATCGGTTATAAAATTGATTAATTTACAAAGACTTTGTTGGCTTTTGCCTTTTATCTACCAGATCGTCGTGGCCTTCAAATATGAATATCAGGCCAATCGAATTAAATTTGGGTATATGATGGCACCGATCAAATGTTTGATGTCTCAGATTACGCCATTCATACGTCAGTTTTAAACTTCCACATTTTTATACGAAAGCACCTTTCAAGGGGAGAAAAACTCTGAAAAAATTTACCGTATCACAATTATTGGCAGAGATAAAACATTTTGAATTTTGGAATGTTTGTAGCACAGATAGGAGGTACTCCTTCTCCCCCTCCCCCTAGGTATAATAATTCTTCTTCATAGAGAGGTATTTTATCGTTGTGTCGTCATTTAAGTTGTGTGTTTACCGTTGAAAGCTAAAAGAAAATTGACAAAATGGAAAACGGGGATTTCTACCATTGCTAGAACTACCCGTAGACCACAGTAAGAAGTCCCGTGATCCTTTTAAAATCAAATTTGCCAGGCTGAGCGTTTTCTTGCCACTATTAAAGGTTTATGTTACCGGAAGATCAACTTAAAATTAACAAAAAAAAATTGGCGAAAATTCAATGGACACAAATTCATTGGAGAAACTATGGTGCTGGGGCGGCAATTAAATTTCTTTGAAGTCTCATAACTGGAGTTATATGTATGGTAGCGAGAAAAACAAAAACCCGTTTTTTTTCTTTACCCAGCTACTAAGGTTCTTTAACTTCTAGTGATATGCCAGTGATTTAAGTTTGCCTACGAAAATTAACATTAATTTTCATTAAACCTCTTTGGGGACGTCTTTTTTTTGGTTGTGACTTCAAACAAAATATCTATCGTTTCATTATTTTATCAACAATCGGAGACTATCTGGCAAAATTGGTAAAGAAAAATAAAAATGTGTAAAATTACCCCAAATAAGCAATTTGAGGGATGGTTTGGCTCCTGAATGAAACAAACAAACAAACAAATAAACAAAAAGTGAAATACGTTTATTTGTTATTTGTTAGTCACTACATTTAACTTCTGTGTTATATTTGTGCTTTTTCGAAACCTTAGTTGATTTGTTTTTTTTTAGTGTTTTACCACGTTTGTCCTTCAAGCTTCCTACATGAATTTAAAAGTTTCAGGGCAAACATCACTTCCCGCGGCCTCACTGAATCTGTTTGAAAACATTCCCCTGCTTGTTCTTATTCCATTTATCGACCGAGTGGTGTACCCAGGTCTGCACCGTCTTGGCTTTAATTTGACCCCACTACGCAGAATTGGTGTTGGGTTGCTGTTCGCCGCGGGCTCAGTTGCTTTAGGAGGAATTATCGAAGTGGAAAGGAAACACGTCTTACAAACTAACGGAACGTTTAAACAAGACTTGTTCAATAAAACCGTGAACGCATCCACTATGAGTGTGTTTTACCAAGTACCTCAGTACATCTTACAAGGAGCAAGCGAGGTTCTGGTTGGCGTTACAGGTAACAGTCCACATCTATATTTGGAATTTCAACTTTACAGAATCTTGATAGTAAATTTACAGAGCGGCAGTAACAAATAGCCCAACAATGTCGTTTCAGGACGGGCAGGGAATTTTAATATGTTAAGAAACATTTAGTCAATAAGTTCTTTCCTCGGGTCTTCACTGCTCTCAATAAAAGTCACCCTCCCTGCTAAGAAAAATTTAAAATAAAAAATTCTCTTGGCTGGCATGTGTAACTGGCGGATATGAAATATTGGTGAAGCCACGATATCATGAAAAAACAACATGGCGTCTATAAAACGAAAGCTAAACGACACGGAAGACATAAATAGTAGTGTATTTGATCAGGATAAGATTGACTGAACTTTCTGGAGAAGTACATGGAAGTAACGACTATATTTTCTAGTCATCGTAGAATTATTAGAATTTGTTAGACGGAAGACTCACAGTAACACTGATTCCAATACTCAGACCAAAGTCAACTCTGGCCCTGTTAGGACAGCGACTATACCGTACATCAGAGGCACCTCTGAAACTATCGCACTTCAACCTTACAATGTGCGTGTTGCTTACAAACCGACAACCACTTTACGACAACTATTTACAAACCGGAAGACTGACAGGGAAAGGGTGAGAAAACTGGTAAATACTGCGTCAGACTACTATATTTTAGTAAAATCCAACTACAGTGGAACCCCGATATAACGATATACCAAGGGAGCAGTGGAATTAGATCGTTATATCGAGGTATCGTTATATCGAGACTCCCGATATAACGATATTATCGTAAAATAGCCGAAAATATCGTTATATTGGGGTAAAATTAACATGTACTTTTTTTACTACATATTGTTTCATTAAACTTGTAATGAGTATCAAATGACTCACAAATGTAGCGTTTCAAGCACGCAGCAATGTCCTTAAACAATTTGCAAAGCATTAAGACGTTATCAAGGTTACACAACAAAGTCTGTGGTATGAATCGTAAAAGGGAAACAAAACAAAACTTAAACATTGGAAGTTGCGACTGTAATCGTCTTTACTTTTCGCTGTTTGCGTGTTCATTGTTTTTCTTTTTTAACAGACACTTGTTCGTTAATTAAAGTACTCTTCAAGTTTGGTTTGCCTCATTTGTTTTATTTGCAATCTTGAAAACGCATCCTGCATCGCTGAAAGAGAGGAAAGGAATTCTCTCTCTCGGTCGCCCGAGTCATCCAACGTGATAATAAAATCTCTAATTGCTTTGACAGCTTCAGTAGCTTGCACAGGAGTCAGGCCTAGGGGCGTAGGTTCAATCACTGATATATCATCATCAGAGTCTGAGTCGTCCCCTTGAGAGCTAGCATGCGCGACTATATCTGTGTACTGTTACTGTAATATCATTATATCGGGGAAGATTTTACGCTCGGTGCGCTAAAAACTCATCGTTATATCGGGAATATCGTTATATCGAAGATCATTATATCGGGGTTCTGTCCCATACATTTTACTGTAACTTTTACCGGGACATAGCATATCTATCGTTATACCGGGGATATCGTTATAACGAGGATCGTTGTATCGGTGTTCTACTGTAGTGGTCTATTATCAATGCTGCGTTCTGATTGGTTGAGTTACTACTAGGCTATTTGTTATAGCTCACTAGTACCGAAAAGCGCGGGCTTTTTTGGCGGCAAAAAAGGGTTAAAGTCTAGCTTTAACTAGCTAAAATATTTTTATTCTCGATATTTTTGACCAACTAGTTGGATTTTACTAAAACAATTATTCCTCTCGCGCGCATGGCCTCTGAGTCAATAGCCCATTCGGCCTCGAGGAATAATTGATAGGCAAACTAACTTGAAAGTAAGTGTACTAGATGTTGAGGCCTTAATTTATACGAGTGCAAGTGTTCTTTTACTGGCTTTTAGTAAAATGCTAAATCGTTTAACACTGGATAACTTTGTTTAGCCAAAATGAAACAGTACTTAATCTTAAACTTCTCCCTACACTAAAGGCTGTCTTAGTTCCATTGCCCCTATGTTTGATATTTAGAACAGCATCGCAACTACGGATGCCATCCCTACATACAAAAATGCACAGGCAAGATTGGGACCATGGCAGCCTTGATTACAAAATGTAAATACCGTAAAATCCCACGTCAAAGCCCTAGTCTTATAGAACTTCATAAGGGGTTTTGGGTGGGCTTATAAACGGGTGGGGGGGGGGGGGGCTTATATCTGGGGGTCATATAAGCGGAATGAAAAAATATTTCGGAACGGCGAGATAAAACGTATCTGAGCAACAAATTAAAGCAAACATACCGTTACATTTAGTGTTACATTTATAATACATTTATCGTGCGTCATTCCAAAACACTGGAGTTAAACAGTTGTGTTGGGAATGAACAGTGGAGCAGAACTCGTAGCGTTGTTACATATGCATAAACATTTGTTTCTTTCTTTGGTATCAATATAATTATTGTTCCAAAGTTCACAGCCACTTGTTTATGCCTACAACTTTAGATTGAAAATTTTGATGTTTGTAAAGAAACGCGAAAAGAGCACATTTATACATTAGATGGGCTTTTAAACGGGGGGGGAGCCTATATCCGGAATAATATCTTCGTTAGCAAGTCGATGGGCTTATATCCGGGGGGGGGGGCTTAAAACCGGGGGGGCTTTAACGTGGGATTTTACTGTAATCACTTAAATACAACATCAAAATTTCACAGGCAATATAATAGTTGCACTTTACACCCAGAGTGTGGGGGTCGTGGACTAGAAAGGATTGTAGTGATAATTAACAGACTGTAATCTAATGAAAGAGGGACCGTGAAGTATAGTAGCACCACATCTGAATTTCAGTCCCCCAAAATTTTGATAAGTTCAATTATAGAAACCCCCTTCGTCGAACGTAATACCCCACTGAATAGACAAGCGGGGGAATTCATGTTGACGTTTCTTCTTTCAGGTCTCGAATTCGCTTATACTCAGTCCCCTGCTGACCTTCGCGGCGTAGTCATGGGTTTGTGTCTCGCAATGATTGGTTTTGGCTATTACTTAGCATCAGCGTTGGCTTCCATTGTTAAACACGCATCAAATGGTGATTGGTATCCTGAAAACCTCAACAAAGGATATCTGGAATACTACATGTTCCTGTTGGCTGGGCTTATGTTAGTGAATGCCTCTGTGTTTCTGTTTTTAGCAGTTAGGTATCGATATTTAAATCATGATCGTGAAATGAATGTAACTTGTCCGAGGACGATCTTCACAGAGATTACTGTGAGTGACCTACAAAGGGACTCTAGAGTTATAGCGACAGCCCTCATGTAGACTAAAATCGGTTACCTCTGTTGGTGCACCTGCATGGAGGTCTAGGGAGAGGCCAGACTGGTACTGTGCTGCAGCTAGTTTTTTTTTTTTTTTGCACTTTTTTCATCAAAGTCATAGCTAACCCTGACAGAGGTATTGCTATCGGTACTGAACATTTTACTCATAACGTGGTTACCGGGGACGTTTTTGCACGATTTTGTCGTGTGGTGGTGGTATGGATATCTTCTAGAACTGGGTGGGGGCTCAAAATGCAAGAAACAATACGTTACGCATATATTTTTAAAGAAATGTTTGCATGGATAGTACAGTGGAACCCCGCCTTACGACCACCCCGTTTATAAGACCACCTCGTTATTACGGCCATATTCTTTCAAACCAAAAGTAACAACCATTGAGTCATTTTCTTATTTCAAAGACCCCGTTAATGCGACCACCTCGTTATTACGACCAGGATTTTATGGCCCAACGGTGGTCGCATTAACGGGGTTCCACTGTACAAAATTTATTTCGGAGACAAGTTGAGGATTTTGGACAGGCAGTCTTTAAAACAAAAAATCATTATTAGTGCCTATAACCTAAGAATTTTTATTCCTTTAATTCGAGAAGATTTTGCCGTCTGAACGCATGAAAACTTTCAAATTTGCCGCCATTTTGGCATTCCATTCTTCTCAGTCTTTTCTCGGAGCAGTTGACCAGCACCGTTTCAAAGTGGCACTCTGATTGGTCCGTTTTGCCTCGCAGTGAGTGTTTCCGTACCAGACTGTACCGAGTCGATCACAACAAAACACGATACCTATTTCAACCTCCTTTTGTTTCGCGTCTGCTTCACTCGCTAGAGATTTCATTCCGTCACAGTGGTTGCATTCCTTAAAGGACTACACAATTGTTACCCCAAAATACGTATCCCCTGGATAGTGCCTTTCCCGATAGAAATGCCTTCCCTGTGATGCTTTTAGCATATCTTATGAAAGCTAAGTTTAATGATAATAGTAGCTTCTAGTTTATTATTCGGTATTCCGAGTTAGGAGTGATACTTTTTTTCGGTACAACTCGTACACTCGGTACAGTTGGTTCACTGAGTACAGCCAGCACACCCGGTACACTCCTTGTATTATGCTCGGTGGCTCGGTACACTCGGTACAGTCGGTAAGCGCGGTATAACGATCTTCTCGTATACTGACAGCAGTAGCTGTTGTGAAAGGAGGATTCTTTGAGATCGAATTTACTTCATACATCAAGGCACACAACACGTGTTCTGATGATGTTGAAGACATGCGCAAAACATAGGAAACCGAAGGTAAGGGGCCAAAAAGTTGGTTGGCTATTGAATTTATCAAGTAGAGTCTTATTACCAGTGAGAAATAATATTTATGCGTACGAGCTGGCCAATCAGAGGGCCGCTTTGGATCGGTGCCGGGCAGCCCTCTCGGAAGCCACTCGGAAACGAAGGAGCTGTGACGTAGATTAAGGAACTATGACGTAAATTAAGCAATACGTAACTGAAACAGCTGTTAAAAGGCAAAAAATGCCAGTAAGATGTGTTGCAGTTAGATGCGGCAACACTGGCGACTCTAAGAAAGGGGTTCAAGCATCCAAAAAAGTACCGTTTTTCAGTTCCTGAAGTTATGTCTCATGAGCCTGTCAATCTTGTGATCAGCGCAACAGAGTTTGCAAAAGAACCATGATTGCGTTAAAATCGCAAAATGTTCCCGCTGAGGTTCGTGCAGTAATGTGTAAATTTGTACGTCACCGGCACTTGAGCCTTGATTTCAAATGGATAGTCAGAAGAAGTAGGAATAAGTAGGCTTCGATAACGGATGATCTGAATAATCGCACTTAAATCAACTGAGTCACTGTAAAAAAAATTCGATCTATCTACGTCATAGATCTCGAGTCCTGTACTTCTAGGACAGAGCGTCCTTGGAGGTGGACATCGATCTCGAAAGTTTCTCGAAAAGTCTGCCATTAATTTCGCCCGAACCCAAGCGTTTACTTTAACCTTCGTCCGAAGTTTCCAGAAATTTGCATGTCACTATGTATTCCTCGTCTGAAATTCCCTTAAGGGCCTGACATTAAATTCAATTGGGATTATGCAAATTTTGCTTCCTCATAAGCAATACGAAAATGTTTCCGACGCGAGTGAGTAAAAACATGCCTGTTAGTTCAGAACGTAAATTTTCTTCGAAAGATAGGTTTCCTGGAGTTGTTTAGCCAAGAATTCAATGAGTACCTATCAGCAAGTGGGTCTGTCTACTAACTTTACTAATTGATACTCGTGTTTTAGTTCCACTTTTCTTAGTACGTGCCAATCCTACTGCACTGTATTTTCATCCTTTTTATACTATGTGTTTTTTCTAGCTATATTTCCTTCATTATGATTTTAGACTCAAAAAAAATTATTAAAAGAGTAATTGAGGGTTCTCTTTAATGTGCTGTTTATGCCGTTTGAATTTTTATGATAGATCTCAATTTTTAGTGAGTGGTAGTTTAAAATAATACTCAAACCAGAACACCAAATTTGGCGAATAGATGCTGTGATGAATATGGGGCAATCAGGTCTTTTTTATTGGTTTTCCTTTTCTTTGAAATTGAAATTGATAGAAAACGTTTTATATGAAAATAAAGCATGTTAAATTAAGATAATAAAGGGTAGTAAACCTTCAAAGTAGAGTTATCTTAAAAAAGATAATCTTAAACACTCTGATTGATTGCAAATTTGGCGACTAACCTTTATTTGTGTTTAAATCGTGAAAATCACAATCAAATTTTTGTTTGCAGCTAAAATGAAGCTCCCTTCAAAACGCTTTGATCGATGGCCTTCATTGTTATTTGATCAAAGTTTTTCTTTGACGTACAGCTCCAAAAGTACAATCCTCACATTTTTTGTCTACGAATACATTCAATCACGGCTTTAATCAATCCAGGACAGAATATTATTCATTTTAATACATACTGCGAAGACAACCATTCTCTTCCACTCAAAAATTATTAGATAGAAGAGAGAAGCGCCTGTTTTTCCTTTTCGTAATATTTATAGCGCGTCTGTTACACCAAAACTATTTCCACTTGTTTGTTTTGACTTGAAAATTCGATGACTTCTGCAAAAAAAAGAAAAGATAAAAACAACCGTTTCAGGGAAATAGCATTTGACATTTTATTGCTACTGTAAAAGTAAGCAATGCTGACTTGTTTTTTTTTTTTTTGTAACAAAAACAGGAATAGTCGCAAATCAACGCTAATTGAGATTAACTGAAAAAACTGCTATTTGGCGAACAGTGACCGTTGTTTCTAGTATTTAGCGCATGATCGCAGCGACCGCCTACCTTCTTAGTACTATGATACTAATTTTCACATTCACTCGCTCGCTGCTGGAAATATAGCGTTACGTATTAGCCATGTATTGTGATTAATGGTATAATCTATGGCTGCTCTGTTGGAAACGACGCAAAAGATTGACGCTTTAACATGTGGTTTGCAACAGAAATAAAGTTTGAGTCAAAATAACACTTTTTTGGATTAAAAGTCCCTTCAAGGCCCCCAAGAGTTCGATGTAAGTCGGGTTCATTTCTGCATCAGTAAATTAACAGCCTCATATCGGGTCGGACTGTATTTGATAGGAATTTGAATAAGTTATAGCGCACCGGTTCGTATATTAACGTAGCAATTTCGAGGAGGCTGCATCACATGTTGGGATAACCTTTCTCTGTTTTTCAAATGAAAGGCTTTTTCTCTGCAAAATATTCTGAAGGCTTGATTTTCTTGCTGCCCGCTTATTGTCTTCTTGCTTTGTCTTTCAAGGTTGAAAAAATCAGCAAGCGGCCTCTTCGAAATTACACCTGTTTCCATCAATTATGATTTCCAATTGAAAAGCCACGCGCGTTAATTACTCTTGATGAGTTCACCACTTAGCGCCAAATCTCAGGTCTCATAGTGCAGTGCTATTGTTGATAATTAAATCCTTTGTGATTGCTTTAACAATACTGTACAAACAACCTGTGTTGTTTTGAACCCCGTCTGCATACGAAAACAGAAAACAGTGTACTTGGACACAAAAGCTAAAAAGAAAACGGTTCTCAAGATCAAGCTCAACTGTGTCATGACTCCTTTTATTTTACACGGTGCTGCTGTTTAAGTCCTTTCCTTTGGAGCCAAAACTCTAAGTTAAATTGGATTCAGGTGGTTTTGTTAAGTAATGAATGAAGGTGTAAATGATCCACTGACAGACTATAGCAGGAAAAAAACTATCGGAAAAGGCCAGTTAAGATTGAATTTTTGACGGATGGTAACTAACCTTTTTATTAAAGCTACTGCCTCTCCAGTTCGAAATGTTTCGCAATTATAATCGTCTTTCGGTTGCACAACTAAAGAAATCTGAAGTCTGTTCTGGTGGAAAACGAACAACAGTTAACAAAACAAAACTCGCCACTTTCTTCTGCTCACGTAGTCTCCTTCCAGAACAAACTTTGGTGGAAAAGATCCGTCGCGAAGTTCAGTATCATTCTTGCATTATTTAAAAAAGAAATAAAAGGCTTTTATTACGTCTTTTCTTGGTTCTGTCGATGAAAAGCTTATAGGTTTATCATTGCGGTCTCCTGGTTATGCTAATGAACAGGTTCGACACTTGTTAATAAGTTATAAGTCTCCTTGCAGCCTCTACTAGGCATTTCTATGATATTTCACATGTTCTTTTTCACCAGCCCGTGAAGTAGAAACCAAATATCATGAAAGAAAGAAAAAATAATGCTGAAGAACAAAAAGACCAATAACTTCGGTGGCAAATTTTATTGTATGACATTGTTTATTGGATTTATACAAGTGTTTTCGGCTTGATTTATGGACGGGAGTCGTTTTCACAGAATTGTGAAGCCACAGCCCTTTCGTAGTGCAATAAAAAAAATTCGGCATGCTACATACGAAACTGCGAAAAATTCCTCATTACTTATACCAAGTTCTTATCATTGTACTATTACTAACGGTACCAAAAAGATTAGCCGTAAAAATAAAATGCTAACTCCAGAAAATTTGATTTCCAGTAATGTGGCATTTAGCTTTTCAGTTGTGGTAACAACAAACAAATTTATTATTTCTTAGAAATAAATCAAAGAAGCTGCACTCGCGTTGTTTGAAAATACTTGAAGCGTTTGTAGTACGTGTAAGTTCAAGATTTACAACTGCAATCTCTTTAGCGATCCTTCACGAAAATGAAAAAAGAGAAAGTTCAGTCTAAATCTCTGGCTTATTCGCCATAAATATTTGATCAGTAAACCATCCATTTGCTTTATGTGTTAATGTCGATTAACTGTCACCTAATGCAAACCGCTTGACTTGCTTTTTTCCTTGTTTAATTTTGTCCGTTGCACTCGGCAATGTGGAGCTTGAGATCGCAGCGCCTGGTGAAACAGGTCTTGCACAAGCGGCAGCGGTACGGTGCATTGTCTGTGTGGATGTGCATGTGGAATTTCAGATTGGAAAGCTTGTTAAATGCTTTCTCGCAAAGATTGCAGTGATATGGTTTCTCTCCTGTGTGGATGAGGACGTGATTGCGCAAATTGCCTTTTTGATGGAAACCTTTGCCACAGATGTCGCAGACGAATTCTTTGAACTCGCTGTGCGTGCGAACGTGAGTCTTCAGGGTGGATGAGCGATTAAAGGCCTTGTCGCAGATGTGACACTTGTGAGGTTTTTCAGATGTGTGAATGATTTTATGCCGACAGAGGGTGCTGGATAAGCGAAAACCCTTTCCACATATGGCGCACACAAACGGCTTGGCGCCAGTGTGAGAAGGCATCTTCAGGTGGATGGTTAACGTGTACTTGGTTTTGAAAATCTTGCCGCATTGATCGCACTTGTAGGGCTGCTTACTAGTCGAACTGTTGTGTGAGGGCGACAGCTTCTTGGAGGCTTCACGCTGCTGTTTTGCTTCTTCACTGGCTTGCTGCGGAGCCCTTTTATGGATTTTGACCGATCGCGTTTTGTCTCTTGCTTCTGTACTAGTGTATTCTGTGGTTTGTGTATAGTCTCCAGGGCTGGTTGAATTTAATTCGATGTCTCGCAAACTTTGATTTGGCTTCATATCAGTCATGTACCTCCCTCGGCCAGCAGTGAATAATTCAGCTTGGTTTCGTCTCTGGTCAGGATATTTTCCATGTAATTGTGAGCCAAGTTCCCTGATAGTATTTTGCCGCAGAAAAGTATACCTCCCAGGCAACGTCTCTGACTTTAGAGGAAATCCATCCCAACTATCAAACTGTAAAGGTCCTACGAATGAACAAAATTAAAACTTGAAATGATTCGACTTGAAATTAAAATATTTCCCATTATTTTACGTTTTCGAAAGCTCAAATAAAAATGTTTCAACTAGTTCCTACCGTGAGTGGGACAATCCTCTTGTCTGTAATTCCATTCCTGTTTAAAATGACGTCGAAGCAAAAATGACTTGGGCATTGCCTTGGATATGTATACCCTCTCTTTTTCGATTTGTAGTCTTTCAGTTCTTCAATCAAATACTACAGCTTCCAGTTCCAGAGACTTGGAGCGATCTTCTACAGCTAGTTGTACTTTCGCTTGTAAGCGAAACCTTTCAAATGAACCACACGTGCCATATAGTCGGAGTTAAAAGTCTTCAAATGGCGGTAACGTGTTAATACAATCAGTGTTTTATCTTTTTTTGTCCAATCGGCGCGTGCCATGGGCATAATCGGCTTATTGTTGTTGTTTACTATAGACACTCTTGATTGGTTAACAACAGGTTGTTATTTCGTAGTCTGAGGGCAGAGAAACCTTCGTATAGATGTGGATACATAAAAAACATATATATTCTGCTACAACTCTGGGAACCATATAAAATCAAGCTTATTTGAAGGGAATTACTGATAAGAGGGAGGATAGATAATGAAGTTAAAGATTTAATATAAAAGAGTAACGTTTGTTTTGATTCTCCCCCCTGATTTGTGCCACCTGTCACATAAAAGCACGCGCGAGGTCACTTTTGAGTTAGCCGTGCGACAGAGAATGACAAGTCTGTTGCTAGAGAACCATAAAACATTTATTGTCGAATAACTTGAGATCGTTATTTCTTTTCATATAATACTACTAGTCAGGCAACACACAAGCCAGTAATTTATCAGAAGAGCTCGTGTGAAATTTCGATTGCTTATTGCTTTAATGCAAATGAAACTTAATCAAAAAGTTTTGCTTTAAATTGCTTTTATTTTCGCTTATTTTGATTTTCATTTTGTCGGCGAAACGGCAGCTGCGCGCGATGATATGATGAGCTTTACGACATATCTCAGCTAGCGACCGCAATGTTTTACCTTGCTAATGAAGCCTGTTCTCCCGCCTTTTCATAAATGAGCATTTTATGCTGGACTTCTTCAGTGTGTTATTAATTATTCAACGTCTTCCTGCGTTGTTTTTAGTTGGCAAACAATACAAAGCAAGGCTGGAAACAACTTTGGTAAATTCACTTCAAGTGCTGATTCTTAGGCCAATTGCCGGCGCACAAATCTTAAATGTCACAGAGGAGGTACTTTTCGTGCAAACTGTTCATATACCAGTTTCAGCTACATTAGTAATATCAGTCACAACGCATTTTTTATTCGTTGACAAAATATCTTTTAAAACATTTAATTCCCGGCGAAGAGACGACGTCAGTCGGCCGTTTTCTATTGCGCCCTGTTGCGTTTTTGATTACATGGACAATTTTCTGCGAATTTTTTCTGATTTAACTTAAAATGAAATTGGCATAGATTAGTCCGAGCAACAGTAATTCATTACGTTAAATTTGTAATGAATGCTCAGTTCCATGCGTTGACGCCCCAAAGTTTCGAAGCTTGTTACTTTTGAGGCGCAAATTGTACCACATACAAGCTACACAGTATTAAAACCAATTTGCCTTCCTGTTCGGCGATAAATTCAAAGACCAAAACAAATTATATGTAAAAATTGCTAAAATGATAAAATGATCTGTCGAAATAGTGAGATTTTGCGAAGGGAATTGTTCAATTCAATGGAACAACTTAATGATATGATTTTTCACTTGACAAAAAGAGCTATGCTGCAGGTGTTAAAAATAAATAGCATTCTCGTATTTTTTTATTTTGGACCCCCATTTGCTTCGATAGTTTTAAGACCGGCAAAACCATCTCTACCGCTGTGAAAATCAATATTCCAATAGTGAATATAGTGCTAAATTAAAAGTGAAATCGTGGCCAAATATTCTTTTTCTTAATCAAAAACCATGCAGTATTACGGTATGAAAATTAAGAGATGGACCTTTTCCACGCCACTCGCGCGGCAAGATATACATGGCAATGTACATGTACGCACAATTCGCGTGCCAAGATCAATAAAAGCCTGTAAATTTTCACAATTGGTTCTAGAAGATAACTTTTGCTAAGCGGCAATCACAAATTTTTATTATGCCAAACAAAACGAGGTATTTAATGGGCGTATTGTTTATAAATACAATGAAATGTTACACGGGAGATCATTAACGTTTGTTCTAATTTTCCAGAAAATAGCACATGATATTAATAACGAACTACACAGAAAAGTTCTTAAAGATCTTTGAACGTTTTTCTAAGAACTCATGTTAAATTTCTGAACGTTTTGGCAAATTACATTCTCAGGGGAATAACTGAGTCACATCCTCCCGTTCATAGGACTTGTATACGTCACTTTAAAGGAGCTTCTTAACGGGTTTCTTCACCTTGATAAATTTAACATAATATCAACGATGTGCTTTATCTAAATCCTTGATCCAAATTAAACCTCAAGTGATCTTTCTCTTTAATGAAGAAATATTTGCCTCCAGTTTAAGATGATTTTGTACGTTGTAAAGTAACTGAACTGAATACATCGTAAGAAAGCAGCAGCTCCGTTAATAACAAAACATGCCCAGTTTATAACTTATTTCTTTCCTTTTTCTTCTTTTGTCCTTGCGGACAGCTAAGGGATACTCAGTATCTGGAAATCGACTGTCAGTAGCTGGTTTTGTTAAATGTCCTGGCGAACATTTGAAGGTTTCCTAAGAATGAAATTACCCTGGGGGGCCCAGGGGAATTACTCACGCACGTTTTTTGGTCCTAATGACGATTAATGTACAAAGATATGCGGGTACGCCCGGTTCAGGTTTATTTTTGTTTAATTTTTCTTTCTTTCTTTTTTTTTTTTTCGCTGTCATTGTTATTTTTTTGGCAAACCCGCCGATCAAAGAGGCGGCTTTCTAAATTACTGCAGCGGGCAACTGAAGATAGCTGACGTACTACAATAGTGACCTTAATTAAACGTAGGTGGTAATTTTGAATGGATTCCACGCGCAAAGTAAGCAAAGTATAAATTTTAGTGCCTGCTACAATTAACATCCACGGAGGGTAAAACAGTTTTGAATTTGACTAGGTTACCAAAAATAATGCTTTTTCTTTTTTTGAATAAATCACTCGATTTGGTGGACGGTGGGCAAAGAAACGTTTTGTAGAGAATTCCCTCTTTCAAATTTCGTCGCCATTATTCTCCACTTTCGTATTGCCTCTAATCCCTCTTTTTGACCCCCCACCTCCCCCCCCAAAAAATTGTATGACCATTATTGTCAATTTTTCTTTGGACTACCCAGAAGAAATCAGAAGGACTGGTTATGCGAATTATTTTGGATCAAACAAGTTGTATACTATGGGCAATAAGAAAATGGTAAAATCAAATTTGTTTTAATATTTAGTATGTCAGTCCTAGGAGGAATTCCTGGAGGTGAATTTTCAATCAAAGCACTGTGAAATTAATAGGCTGTGTAGCTAGCTGGATTTATCAGCAGGGAAATGCTGTTGTTTTTTGGCTGCCGTGGTGTGGAAGGTAGTGTACGCTTTCCTTCTCCTTCTCTTCCTCCGCATTCAGGGATAAGTATCCCGCGCTTAACAAACATGTCCGCTACGCAGAATATAAAATTCGGATGAAATTTCAAGTTCAAGTCGTGCAGAGGACGCAAGAGCTGAGAAATGTTTCAAAATTCGCGATGCACCTACAAACTGAGAAGTTGCTTGGCTTTTTAAACCAATCACGTTGCCGTCGCCTTCGCTGATGAAAAAGCTCACTTGAGCTATTCAGCAATGTGCATGTTAAGAGAAAGCACATTATTCAGAGACACCCGACGAACGAATCTCAAATGGTTTTCTCTATCTCGATTCCCCGGCTTTAACTATGAAAGCCTGTTTGATTAATTTGAGGCTACTCTAAAATCTATTTATTTGTATTGATGCCCTATGGGAACTTTCAAGGTAGTCTCGATAGTTTTAGGTGGCTTTTTCGTCTTATCCGAAACTGTTAGCGGCCCTGATGGGTACGAACGTAAAAAGTTCGAGGAGTACATTGACAAGCAATTGACTCTATTATAAAATGTTAGGAGAGGTTTTGTCTCTTCGCCGAAATTCTCAGGAGAACGTTTTTTTTATCAATAATGGCAATAACATTTTGGTAATAAAGAACCCGCATAAAATGCACAAAACAAGCACAACCTCCGAAACTCGTGGGTAAGGTGTTACGAAAATTCCGAATATCTTAGATCCCGTTTACACGGGGCCGGACAACCGCTGTTGAGAAGTTACTGCAGAGCGTTTTGCTCCTCTTTAGCTCTTTTTAATTACCTATTCTTACTTGAAAATAGGGTTAACCTAACGTACCTTAAAATAGCTTACAAGCTAGCCGATGAGAAAACTGGAAACGAGCTTTCCTGTGATATGGAGTTGATTTCTCGCCGCCGTGAAGGCTTGGTGGAATCCGTAAAGATTAGAAATCAAAACCTCTCAACCAAGCCGATAACTTATGTTACAGTTTTATCTCTGGCTCGAAGCAATTTTATTTTGAGTGTCATGTGGGACATGAATTTTGTTCTCACATCTGGCGACAATTTCATAGTCGAAAATTTGAATAAACAGCACCTACCGAATTGAGCTTAGTTTTAGCTTTTGACATCGTTCGTTCAGGTAACAGGGATAACCAAAGTAAGCTTATAAGTCAGACTGTCGAGACTAATACTGAGTCGTAGTTTAGATGTGTACTCCATTGCGGTCCCAGCAATATGTTTCGGGGTATAGTAAGCAAGTAAAAAACGAATCAGAGAAGCTTATTCACACAAAAGTATTATAACAAACCGTAATTTTATTTAAAACTGTTTCGGCCACAGTCGCATTCACCACCTATAAACATATAAAATACGTGAACGTTCCTCCTGATTTCACGATAGGCACTTGTGATAAAAGAATACAGTAGTAGAAAGAAAGCAATGCAGTTTCGGCGAGAAGACGCGCCGTACGTAGGTCAGGCGCTAACTCTCGCCTTAACTTGATACTCTACGAGTCTACGAGTAAGACTTTCCATTTGATCTATTTATTTATTTTTCGTTTTTAGTGGGGCAGTGGGGGGCGCAAGATCGCGCAAAAAAATAATTTTAATTGTTTTAAATACAGTTTACCTTGCCATGATAGAGCGGTTTTCACTTGACTGTCGTAAAACCAAAACCAAAGTAAATACACTAGCCAACCAAAGGGCGTAGTAAAACCAAAACCAATCCCTTTCGGCAGTCAAGTGAAAACCGCTCTATAAAAAGCAAAAAGTTATTTCTGTTCAGCCGTGGTGCTATCTTGAGGCTAGGGTGTTTGGGTTAATTACGTTCGACTATTCGGATCCCGCGGAATATATATTCTATAGTTGAAGATTTTGCAACTTGCCAACATCATTATAAAGTTCTTTTCTCTGAAATATCCACTAAATATAAGTAGATGGCTTGCTCGAATGTTGGTTTGCAATGTCAGGTTTGTTAACTGCTCTTCTAAGATCTCCTTTAAGTTGTGCTCCTTTCCTGTTTCTATTACGGTCCAGTCCATTCTTTGTTCTTTTACTTCCGGTTTGTTCACTTGTATCGTCTGCTTTCTTATCGGGGAGAAGTTTCTGCAGCTGCTCCAGTGCAATGTTCCAGTGAGAGCTTGGTTCTAAACTGTAACTTCTGTGAGTAGCAATGACTTCTCTTTTACTCTTCCAAGATTTTACAAGTCTGGATTTGATTCCTTGTAGAACGTTTGAAGCCTGTATTTTATAACAGTCAGGAAATGAACTTGTTATTACGGTGATGCAAACAGAGTCCAAAAAATGTTCTTAAAAGCAATCTAATAAACTACACAGACGAATGAAGCATGGAAGTGAATTAGTTCTAAAATTCACTTGTATAAATTAGGAAGAAGGTTCCTATGGTATGATAACAGGTGCGAATATTATGAAATGAAGGTGAAATGAGACTTTCCATAGCACAAAAAATTCATTTCACAAGAGTAACACGAAATTCTTCTGAAAAGAATCTAAACTAAGTTTAGATTTAAAAAAGTTTTTTTTTTTTAATGTGACTTCCGAGCCCGAGCTGAAACTAGAGAGGTCAAGCTTCACGTTTAATTACGTCAAACGGCAGACGAGAATCTGTACCACGTGACCATGTCTCCCCTTAGCTTGTCACCTAATGTTCATTATTTCTACACATAAATTAGTAGTTTCGCGTAATTTAATTTTCATAAAAATATTCTGAGCTGTTTTTATCTGCTCATTTTCTATTTTGAGAAATTCTCAGTTTGAATCTGACGCTTGCCGTGTAAGCTTAAACTCTATAAGGCGACGGCGACGTTTGATCCCAGGCTCCAGATCCGATCCACACTTCCACAGAACGAAAATTGCCAAATATGAGGTATGATTAGCTGCTGAAGCTAGTATTCAAAATCTAAACAACAATTTACCTTGCTTTCTTTTACATCTTTGAGGGCCTCCCAAGCGAGTTCACCCAGGAGAACAAGCAGGCTGACAAACTGCCCGAATAAAATAGCATAAAACACACCAGCCATGTCGTGAAAAGCCATTACTGGGTTGTCATTACTGAGGGAAGCGTCTGAAAAGAATAATGTACTAATCAACGGCACTCTAGTATTACAATTTTACCTCAGTCCTTATACACACGGTATGTAATCTCGGCATTAAATTTGGGGCAAGTAAGGGTTTTCATGCCATCGTAGTGATATCTTAAACCATAGACCAGAAAAGAGCTATATTTTTGAGACTGACGAAGAATAATTACCAATGAACAAAACAAAATAGATAACGGCTGGCTTACCGTTCCTGGGGCCCGTTTCTCGAAAGTCCCGATAATTAACGGGCCCGGTAAGCTGTCTCCGTTTACATTAAAAATCGAGGTTTCAATAGTTTTGTATCTAGCATGATAAAACTAGCAGTTAGTGAAACAAAATAGAGTAGTTTGCTAGCCAGGACCCGCGCTCTTATTCTTTATATTTCGATTTGAATATTTGATTTCGGGCCCGAAAAGTTACCGGGACTTTCGAGAAACGAGCCCCTGTTCGCTGAGTAATTGTTCAAAAACGGAGACCGAAAAGATTGGGAGCCCCAGCGAGTTTCGCCGCGTACGATGAGCAGCGAAACCTAATCTCGTAAGGGAGGTAGGGCATAGGTATGCATGATTGTTGAAGTTGCAAAATTTCTTTCAAGTAAGGCCCTGTACTCTTTTTTTTCCCACCTGATTCTGTGTAAGGTGTCTTACACACTCCTTGAAGCCATCTTTCCCTTAAATGCTGCATAAATCCTTTTTGCTGCAGTTCAAGGATTTTCACGCTAAACTGCTCTGTGTAGGGTGAGTTTTTGGGGAGTCCAAATCCGTAGCCAAACTTTCCAAAAACTCTGTAAAGAGAGAAAAGGACACGTCCTAAAGTAATTTCTTTCCCATCTCCCTCTCTTTTTCATCAGGGGTTCATTCGGTTAGGCCAAAAGAAATAAGCAGTATTAATCAAATGATCCTAGCCAAGCGATCATGCTATTTAAGGCAACTCCTATGAAAAAATAAACACTAGCATGTAAACATAACAATGGCAGAATTTGCCCGGTTCAGTCGTTTGTCGTATTATGGTACCCGTCTTAACAAATATAATTATACAAAATGTTACTAAATACCGTTGAAAAAGAGACGTGTTCATAAAAACAAAAAGCAGTCAGCTATCTAAATTTGGTTTTATACAGGATCGGAAATTAAAATGAAGGAATCAGGACTAAACCACAGCTTTGTTTGTTTGTATATTTTGTTTTGTTTTTTTTTCTTGGAAATACTCCCTGACAAGAAAACATCAAAATTCTTCTAGATTCTGTTTGTCCAGTGTGGAACAAAACATTTGAAGAACGAAGGAACATGACAAAAAGGTGTTTCATCCAGCCGTATAGGGCTTATATATTTCTTATTTGGCAGGCAATGAATGTAAAAAATGATGTGCTGACGCTTAACCTGGATTGCACTGTATCAGTTTGGTTGCTTTCCCTTATGATACTTCCTTTGGGTGTATTCGCTCACCTTCCAATTGTTGTCAGTGTATCGCAAGGCTTTTGTTTAGTGTAGTACTCTAACATTTCTGATTCTCCTATAAACGCATAACCTCCTTCTTTTGCTCTTTGAATTCCCTCCGTCATGTTTTTTACCAAAGTTTCATGTCTCTGCATGAACGCCCACATTTTTGCATGAACGGGAACGTGCGACATCTGGAAAAATGTCATGATGTGACTATCCTTTATGCATCCGTATTTTATTTTGGTCTGTGATGCTAAGTCTTCCAGGCTATCAATAGGAGTATCGAAAACGTCTGTGATTAAAAAACTGGCCAGGTTGGCTGTATAAGACGCACCTGCGAACAGATAGATGAAAAAGTTATCAAGAAATTCAGGCAACGACGACGGCGACGGCAACGACAACAGCAAAAAAGCAATAGGTTTAGATTAGCAAAACAACACGCTTTTTTGTACATTTCTTAGCCGTCGTTGAACGAGCGCCCGTACAACGTGAAAGTGCCTAATTTCACGTTTTGTCGAGAACGGAAACACACTGTAACTTTCTTTTTCTTTTCTTGAACTTTGATACAGTCCATATAATTCAGACTCAAAAAATTCAAACTGTGGAAACCTCCACCAAATGGATTGGAGGAGAAAAATAACAGCTCAATACAGTAAAAGAAGGTATAGACAACCCAGCAAATACAAAATGAGGCACGGATGAACAAACTTGAAGAAGATTGAAACGGATTGCAAACCAAATTTTTTCACATGAAGCGGTGATTTTGTCACATATTGCTTACGTTAAGTTTCGTTGATTATAAGGACGTGTATTTGGCAATAAACTAGACAGTCTTGACAAAGCCCCTTTAAGGGATGGCATGGATTATGTCTCAGTTCAGATTGTTGAAAGAGTTAAGCAAATTTACTTCTGGATTTGTTTGCTATTGTTCTACGATAATTCCAGACACAAAATGTATAATGCAGCATTACATATTCCGGACCTTTTTTTTTTGTCTTTCGCTTTAATTGGATTTTATATTTAGTTCCGCCATGCAGGCTATGGGATTTATGCGCAAAGTGTGATCCATCTTATTAAATTAGACTTGACTTTTCACACATAATACTCGTTCATGTACAAGACAACATTATTTCATTAAGGAGCATTTTAAAATTCAATTAAACTCCCATCAAGCTGGCAGTTATTGAGAGGCCAATCTTCCCTAAGCGGTCATTAACAATGGCCCGAAATAATGGTAGAGACGAATTCAGTATAAACAAAAAAGCCTACCTCTATCAAGCGGCATCGGCTACCTTTTAGCGATTGTAGCGAGAGTTCCTATTGTGGCAATCTCTATAAAGAGGCCTTAAGCGTTTGACGCGCTTAGTTACTAGGGTTTATGTTAAGACTACGATGAAGGAAAATTACAGTCCGAGATAGAGGGTGATGACTGATTATGAATCAGTAATGCCAATCCCGTCGCATGTTTAGTTTCAAATGAAGTGATTTTTCCGCTGAAGAATTAAGAGAATTTATGACAAACCTTTGTTGAGCGACCACCTGCCGTAGCTACAAGGGTGGCTGCTTAATGGAGGTTCGAATTTAAGTAACGGTTTATCAAAGTGACTGACACTCAAGTTGTCTTACTCTAAGTCTTACTTATGATGAGCACTGCAAACCACCAGAATGCGGCAACCACTCTCCCGGATGTAGACTCTGGATGTGCTGTATCAGCACCCTGACCAACGGCATATGAAAACGATGACCATGTGGATTGAAATAACCGCAGACAGTCACGTGTGCTCCAGTGATCTTCTTTGACGGAGTGATGATCACGTGACTGGGCAATTCTCCCGTGATAGCCTCGCGGACTGAAGGTAGAGTGCAACCATAGGAAAAAACCAACTAAAATCGTGGCCACAGCCATAGCTATCCAAAGGTTAGAATTAAAAGGCTTTAGAAAAGAAAACATTTTGTAATCCTCCTTGAAATCTTTTCTGACAAGAATCGTAAAACCAAGGTGCATGAAGGGCTGTGTGAAATCCACTGCTGTTTGACGCAGAGGGCTGATGGTTAGTGGTCCAATGGAGAGATCAGCTTTCTGTTAAGAACAATTTTAAAATACATACGAGCCACGCTCTTTTCACTTCTATAAAGACCTTTGTAAATCAATTAACAAGGGTATCAAGAGATGAATGAACAAAATAAATTTAAAAAATAAACGACAATATGTTATTATTATTACTATTGTTATCATTGAAGAAGAATAATATATGAATGAATAGATGGATGGATTAGCGTTAAGCGGGCAGGGGTAGCTTAGGCTCATCAGTATGTACGCATCTAAAGGAAATGCCCGAATTGCAGAGATTGACAGCGACAAGTGGGAGATGTTCATCACCTGGACGGAAATTTTCATCGTGTGAAACTGTTACCTAGCTGTATGTTATGTGACAGAAATAATGCTTATTAAATTGTTCGAATGTCAAAATGGTTTTTTTTCGTAATTCTATAACTAAACCACAAATTACATAGTTTTGAAAGATTAGTTTATCATCCTTTAATTAGCAATTAATGAATTCGGCTTTCGCAGGATATGAAGAATTTAAGGGACTGGTTAACGATAATGCGCATGCGCGCCGTTTGTCTCTTCAGAATAAATTTGTTGGGTCAACACTAAATTCGAAATCGCCATTACCGGTACAATCATTGAAAATCCTTCGTTTTATTCGGACATCCGTCGCTTTGGCTGGTCTAGTTATACTTCGGTAGTGGTGATTAACGTCTGGTTGTGTCGTTTGACTGGTTACGTTTTACGTTTTTTTTGATCATGGAGGTTGAGAAGAGCATCGTGGCCGTCCGGCAACAGGACGTTCTCAAGAGTCTCTGGAGATAGAGAAGCTTAGCCTATCGATCTGGTATGGTTCTAGGAGTAGTGTGTGGCATACGAAAAGAATACACGACACTTGGAAAGTGGTTAAAGGCATTAGTTCGTTCAACTTTGATTTGATTTTTGACTCTGACCTGTAGTTATACCGCAACAGGCCGCGCGATCTTCACCGATCTGGTACACTTGAAATGTTCCTTGTATCTTTGCTTTACGATCGTATATGTTTAAGAATTGATGTTTTTAAAATAAATTATTGCCTGAATATTCTGTTCATAATCTAGTTTCTTTATGTGTGCTACTCGATAACATTTGTTTTGCGGAACACTGACCCGATGCAACGCGAATGAATTTGTTCATTTGCTGATAAGCAATTGAAATTTATGCTCAATTAAGGATAATCTTTATACTCATACGTTGTGTGTTTTTGTCACCGGTCCGGCGCTATTTGTAGGTATTTCTGGGTTTATATAAGGCGAACTGAGAGAACAGTAATAAGATGTTTGTTTACAAATTTTGTTTGCCGATCGGTGACTGTTTTTAGCGTAGCGGGTACGACCTCGTAAAAATACACGTTGGTAAATGTTTGTTTCAAAGCAGGACAGGGCTGTAAATCTTATTCTTATCGGCTGCAACATATGTCTGAGGAGTAGCAAAGAATAAAATTGAATTATGGGGATAAATAAAATCAAACCAAATGCCCGGAAATACTCTCGCGTCGCGAACAATTAATTTGAATTTTGTAAATTTACTTGCGTGCATCTAACTCGCTTCCGATTGGTTGAAAAACAATCAGCTACTGTCAGAACTCACACATGCGCATTATCGTGAACCAGTCCCTTTAAGCAGAACTCGGAGCGTGTTATCCACAGAGGCCGAAGGCCGAGATGGATAACACCCTCCGAGATCTGCTTAATTCTTCATATCCTGCGAAAGCCGAATTCATTAATTGCTTTATTATTCAATCAAAATAATTCCTAGTTTAAAAACATAGCTAAAACAAGCTTACCTGAATCGATCTTAAGTTTATCTTCGATAGTGTACGTATAGGTTTGTCCAGCTCCGCAAATATTCTCCAAATAGCAGATATCGCCCTCCGAGTTGTCTTCTTGCTGTTTTTGCTATGTTCTCAGCCATTATTTCGCCTAGTTCCAGCTGTAGTTTTTACTCTTGAAACGAGTGAGGTACCCGCCATTTTAGTTCTCACAACGAAAACAACTCAATCTCGTCCCCAGGTCATCTCGGTGAACGGTGCATTAACCTGTAGAAGGCTGCATTTTTGACGTCGTTTCCTCGTTAAACTAGAATTCTTCCAAATTTGGTCATCAGTAACTGGTTATGGTGAATTGTGCGTATGCTTTTAGCCAATCAGAATGGGGAAATATTTTGAATGAATAATAAGGTGGGATAAAAAGATCTAGACTGATTAGAAGTGGAGACCAGCAAGATGTAAGGCATCCATTAAAATTTATGGGAAATAAAGTTGTTATTATTATGAATTGTTGAATTAATTAATAGATTGCGTTAAGAAAAATCCCTTATTGTAAGGAGAAAAGAGAGTTTTTCTTTTCACGAAAATACTGGTAAAAAAACCTACCCTGTCTACCAAATATTCCATCATTCCATTCCACTTTTGACTGAATGAATCCTTTGATCCATAAACATTTACTGGTAAGACTTCAATTGTGTACTTGAACTTCATGTCAAGTTGAAGTCTGTCGAGCAGCTCTATACAATATCCCGTGTACACCTTTTCGCCTGTTTTAACGTCTTCTTGTTCAATAAATGGCGGTTCCTAAAAAACAGGCATAAAAATGCTTATGTCATAGCACTGGATACCGGCTTGAATTGATGTATCATTTGCTTAATGTCAGTGAATCGCTTGCATAAAAAATGACTTGGCACAAAAATATTCACTACAATGTATATTCTAAAAAATGAGAGGCGGATTTTCTTTAGTGTGCAAACTTGTTTATATCGGGATGTATCTCTTGACTCTCTTCTTGCTTGCATTTCAAAGTTGATATGATTATGTACCTTAAACTCTGCCGTTGGTCTTTGATATACAAGTATAAATACATACCTATAAATTATTTACATGTTTAATATTATTAGTTAAAAAGTAAAACAATGTCTAAAATACAGTCTATTAATAAAACTTGATAGGTTCGTTCGAGTTCTTAGACGTTTTGAAGATTCTTTAACTCTGGGCAACAAATTACACAGCGGATGAGTAGATACTAGGCAACTAATCTTTGAGGGCGATTAAATGTCAGTGACTTTTTTTTAAAAAAAATAAAGGACGTTAAGTAACCCGGCCCTCACACTTTCGAGTCTTCTAAAATTTCCTCACCAAAACAAGAATAAGTGTTTGGTAAATGATGTGTTGTGATAGACTTTATATTCACTTATGCTGTGGCTGTCTTGTCTCCAGTCAAGCATGTGACAATTTAAATGACGGAAAGTCAAACCTTTGCACATTTAGAAGCAAGTGTGCACACTGGGAGGATGAATATGTCCAATTTTGAAACAGAAAACTCCTTTGAGTATCGTCATATCGATCTTAATTGGGGCAACAAAACAAATGAGCGAATAAGGTCTATTACAATAGGCTAGAGAATTGATGACGTTACAGGAACTAAATGAGAAAAATTATTGGATTGGATGGGATAATCAGAAGGAAAGAGATAAAAAAGTTAAAACTGTATAGTACCTATCTAAAGTGGAGAAAATTGTCAAAATAAAATCGTCAAAGAAGTTTCGAGAGTCAATGAGTCTTGTGCTAGAAAAATGTTCTTTCGTTTTTTACTTACTACTACTGTTACAACTCGAATGCTGACGTTTTCCACTGTGTCTGCTCTGTCACGAGGTGCCTTAAGCGACTGGGACAGCCATAAAACCGGTTTTTCAGGATACATTACAATTCCTTTTCTCGGACTCCATTTACCAACCTTGAATGTTAAAAAATATTCAAAATATAATAACGGCTACGTGCATCAACTGAATTCCAACTTTTAATTGCGGAACGTGTATGATTTTTCTCGTACGTGCAAGAACTGATAGACATATGACCTCATATGCATGTATCGTTCTTTTCTTCTTTAGCTATTTGAACCGTGCAGTAAGTCATTATTAATGGCATAGCTATTCTAATTTTTATATGTAAAAAATGCCAACTTACCTCCACAAAACCTGTTCTTCCCAAATTTACTATATCGTAATCTTTAAATTTTGGCGATCCATCTGTTTCAAATTCCAAGTCATTCATAATTCCAGTTCTGTTGACCTGACAATTTCATTTAAATTTACATTATTTGTTGTTGTTATAAGTTGTCTCTGGATGTTTCGAGTACCATTCAATGTCTTGTTAACGTTTGTACTTTACTATTTGATAAGCGACCCATCTGCGACCAGCTTTACAAAAAAGCTGATGATTCATTGTCACTTGTTGGAGTTTGTTCTCTAAATGCAATTGGCGCAATATAACTACAGCAATATTTATTGTCCGTTCAATCTTCTTTAATATTTTACATATTTGAGTCAGTGAGCACTTTGAATGTGACTTAAATTCAAAAACTAATGAAAGAGCCCAACCTTCTTTATGTATTTCATTAAGTCTTCTCCATTTCTCCATGGCAAGACACGGCCCTTGTGGAAGTTAAAACCAACGTCTTCCCCTTTGACATCGTACCCGTCTAATACCATGTGATGAAGTGCAGAAGCTAAAACCAAGGTGGAGTCAAAAATCTTTCCTGAAACAACCTGATTTGTGAAAACAAAGATGTTAAAATCTAGGCAGGAAGATTCGTATGCTTTTCATTTGTGGCTCTACTCTATAGCTAGTTAGGACTATGGGTTCTTGTTGTCCTACATGGAAGTGCTAAATGGATGATGTGGTCTGATCTCTTCCTTCTGAAAATCCCCTGATTTAATTGGGGGTTTCCTAATGCTCAATATACTTGATAAGTACATTGAGTATACATTCAAGTATATATTCCACTTCGGGAAGGCCCAAGAAAGGCTGTACAAGGTATTCTTTTGGTCTATGACGTCATAACACAGGTTCTATTCACTTATCCTTATCAGTGACGTCACACCCACGGTCGATTCACACAGTCCTTCCTGATCCACCAGACTTATAACGCTTATTCCCTATACTACTGTGATATCATTTTCGTTGGTATTTTAACGAACATCGTAACAATTGCAATGGAGAGACAAGGCAAGATTAGAAGGATAATTAAAGTATAGTTATAGTGATGAGCGCTCCCCAGGATTGCGGGGCTTAATCAGATCATGGCCTTGGTTTGCAGTGGGTACGTACATTAAGTTCACCATGTTGGTAGCTTTTCCAGTGCTTTGCAACTTCCTTGTAACGAGTTCCCTCGCCGAATGCAAGACGTGTGCCAATGACTCCATAAAACTGATTTATGAAGAATTCATCGCCGAGTGTTTGCCAGTCCTGTTAAGAATCGGTAAAGGTATATCAATAAATGAATGATTGAATAATATTTACATTCTTTAAAATGCATGATGTTCACTCATGTGTTATTGATATTTTGTCTTTACTAGAGCGCAAGTGTCACGCCTGTTATTGGTGAATCTTATGACCACAAATTCAATGTATCTCTTCCTTACCTTTTCTGTTTGCGCATCTGTAACAATCCAGACCCAGTCTTTCGTCATTCCAAGGTCACCTGCTTGCTTGAGGATCTATTTAAAATATTTCTCCATGCACTTTTTGTTTTATTTACAGATTAAAACACAAGCATTAATCAGCTGCCCTATTCCATTCCAAAATAGCTATTAGCGATGCCCACGTGATGACCAGGTGTATAGGAAAGTAGCCCCATAGTTACGCCCGTCACCGTGATAATCCGTAAAATATATATTTTTTTACTGTTTAAATATGTATGTACTGCAGCTGAAGAGAAGGCAAGAGAGCAAGAGGAGTTGCTCGACAGGATTCTCCCTTTGCTTCATCCCTAACAGAAGACCAAACCATGCTAAAATCAAGGACGACAATTTGCCGTTGGTGACACTCTTTTTAGTGAGTGAGTGGGTAAGTCATTGCACAGACTCAAATTTCATCATTGTCCCATCATCATTGAAAACAACAACAACAAAAACAACAAAAACAAAAACAAACAAACAAAACTGTAAGTTCAAGATTTGTGGATTGGCTACCCCTAGTATTATATATCATTCTAACCTGCCTCGAGTACTTTTTGTAACAGTTCAAAACAACAATTCTAGTGCCTGTTTGCCTGATCCATTTCAGCTGTTTACTAATTTTGAGTTTGAAGGGGTCTGCGATGGGCTCAAAGTGTTCGTGTGCTACAACCAGCCAACCTCGTTTGTATGCTTCATCCTTCAGAGCTAACAGGCCATTGATTCCTGTAGGAATGAAATAAATAGTCCTCCATGCATGTCATACTTGCTAACGATATCACCTTGACTTGAAATTAAATTGTATTTTAAGTGCAGCGGAGATCTAAACGTAGCTGAAAATTGTGTCCGTTGAAAGACTGTAACCACAAAAGCCGTGACATGGAAGAGACGATGAGAACGTGATCCTTTTCCACCATTTTAGTTTTGTATTTCAACGTACGTTTTCAGTATTAAGAAGTTGACTCTTACGTTCACTGAATAAAGATTTGGTTATGAAGCATGTTAAACAGAACACGGTATATTTCGTGTTGCACATAAAAGAGTTGATAAAAGTGAGTTCATAAACGCCGGTTAAACGCGATTTCGGATTGCAGAAGGCCGGCTGCCTGTGGCCAATGTAAAGACAACTGTTGAAGTTCCCTGAATGACATAGAGCACCGAGTCTCCAGAAGACGGCCATGGACAAATAGGAAGCGGCCATTGGCCCTTTGCTATTAACGTGATGCTTAGCCTCTTCGTTGTTATTTATCCTTGGACGGCACACAAAACAGAAAATCGCCGTAGACAGAACTACCTTCGAGTTGGGTGTGATTCTCTCTATATATTTTTGTGTGTTTACTATTATTATTATTTGCGATTTCACATAATTTACCCTCCCTTAGAGTAAATAAGTCATGGAAATTGTTTACCGTAATCATCTTTTGATACAAGCAGGGCAAACTGAGTCCAGTTAAAGTATTCAATAAGTCCCGCCAAGGCCTTGCACTGAACAATGTCGCTTGGGCTCATGCGTACAAGATAAGGAAAATTAGCCGGGATGGAAGAGAAGGTCGGATCTGTTGCCACCGGAGCAAATTGTGGAATATGGAACCCTGAAAAGTAGGGCTGGGTGTACTTCACATCGGAGGACATAAAAGGACCAACAATGGCAACTACACCAAGATGACCTAAATACTGCGCTGAAAGAGAAGGGAAAGAACAATGGCAAGAGATCTGTATCTGCATTTGTCATAAGTGCATCAAAAATCTCTTTATCTAATGAGGTCAATGTTAATATTCGAAAACGGATAAGAGTTGAAAAATGTTATGTTTCCTGGAATAGCCGCTTTTTTCATAATAAAAAGCTAGTGCAGCTGTTACTTATATAGTTGATTGGAATGGGCACTGAATCGCGGCTGCTTCAATTGGAGTATATAAATATATATGCTCAAAACGTACAACTACTGCAAAATATCATTACTCTGATACAAAGGTACAAGTTCCAAAATTGAGCAAGTAATCCAACTACATCTGTAGATGAGCATGCAGAAAGATTATTTTCATTGCTAGAGGCCTTTATTAATATTTAGCCAGGGCTAATAAATTGTCAACGATACTTAAAGGTGTACGTCCTATTTGCCTGCGAGCAGGCTCACTTTTAAGAGTTCAGGGAAAATTTTGGCGGCGCTGCCGCCAGCGTGCGAGGTAAAGTACTTTTTTCCTCGCCCCATTTCCCGGCGGCTCGCGAAGCCAAAATTTTCCACGAACTCGCACACGTGGGCCTGCTTACAGGCTAACGTCCTATGCACTCGCCACTTCAAGCCAGGAATTTAAGGTTCGGGGCAACTTTAGAGAGCTTAAGCCTGTGATTGTTGATTCATTTTGGTAACAAATGGATGAGGTATAATTATTTAGTTACCTGCTTTTAAATTGTCAAAAGCGTCCAGTGGTTTGGTTATATTGATGACGGCTTGAAGCTGTATTCCTGGCAGAATATTGGGATCTTCGTTGACATCAGCAATAGCGGCAAGGAAAGATCTTACTAATGATACGTCCTCGAAAATGGCTCCTTTTAGCAACATTTTATTCACAAGAAACAGAAAAAAAGCGATCAAAGAAACGTAAAATGAACTCTCTAGGAGCCTTGTGGGATGTTCTGCAGCATCTTCTTTAGATTACTAGTCTAAAGCAGTAATCAAACCTCTTAAGCAGACAACTTAAACGTAGTAAAGGCCATTTATTCAGTATGCACTGCGACCCTTTGAGTCTGCGAATGAATCCAGTAGTGCTATAATGAAACCTCGTGAGTGTCTATTTCTTTCTCTCCGGCAAGTCAATTTTACCTTCATCCTAGCATCACTGCACTGCACTGACGAGGCCCAGAAGGCCGAAACCGTACTGTCTGCGGTTAGACAAGTTAATTCATATATTTCTTTTCTTTGCACCTTTAACTGCAGTGAAATGGTCGAAGTAATTAGGATCATAAATCCAAAGAAATGAAAGAACTACCCAATGAAATAGACTTTGATAAGCAAGCGCTCTAAGGTTCATGTGATTAACTTGAAAGTAGCCTTCGAACGATGGTTGAACAATGGCTTTAAACTTTCTAGAGATTAATATTACAGGTTAAACGACTCGTTCAGTAAATAATGCGTTGTAATCTGCATAATATAATTCGCAAATGTAAACAGCAATATTGTAGGCTAATAAAAACTTTGAATAGAAATGATAAGCGCGAGTCACCGTATTTTAAAATGCCCTAGTTATCGGAACTGACCTGTCTATTAAGTGATACTTATTTCAATATCCTTCTGCTTGATAAATTTGTTAACTTACCTACTTTCAACATCAGGCCATTCACGAGAAAGACTTGAAGAAACATAATTGAAAAGGTCACGAAAGTCGTCTGTAAAAACTTCATCATGTCCTCTTTTTGCACACTTAAGCTATCTACATCAAAACTTCAAAACATCTGTTTTGTTGGGCCAGTAAAACAAATGAAGTTTCTTATTTGAACTTTTTTGAGTGTGTTTTTGTCATATTCTACTTGTGACATTGACTCATCATGACTTCAGCAAAGAGACCATCAATAACACAGAAAATTGAAATCTTTTATCTTTAACTCAGTATGACTTCCCAAACAACATTTGCTGCAATCACAGATTTCTGCTGTGATTCAATAACGATGGATGGCGTGCTGCGAATAAAACGCGAGGGTCCACTAGTCATTATAAAAACACAACATGTAATAATCCTTTTACAAAATGAATAATTTTTATTACCATTTCTTTAATTTACCATAGCCCACTGTTTGAAGAACAATACATGTAAGTTATTATTTTCAAGAGTAACCATAACTTATCCAACAAGTGTCTTCAAGGCAAATTCTAGTCATCCTTTAGTCCATAACGAAATAAATCGATCTTATTGCCTTTGTAGACATGAAAAACAGTGTGTGCCAGAGTTCATCTGATGTCTGTAAACTGACACTCATCATATTCGTTTTTTTATCATTTATGCGCCTTTTTAGAAACGGGAGGGGAACTGGAATCAAAATGCGTCCCGCGGTTGTTTCTGGGATCTCTACTGGGACGCGTCAGTCGGCTGTTGCCTGTTGGCCAGTAACTGTCCCAGCAGTCTTTGCGAAAGTCAGCTCGGCCCAGTTTACTTCTCGTTTCAAAAGTGGCAAATTAGAAAACGTGTTTTAAGTTGACAGTTTTACTGGCCGCCCCTAAAGAAAATTATAGCGCTAAGGAAAGCTATCATAATGGCTGCGTTTATGATGCAACAAGCATGAAAGTAAAAGAGAACAGGACCCCATGACTCTTGGGCTCTTTAAGAGAGCAATTCAGAGAAGAGAACAATTACCACCAACCTTTCTGAATGTTTGATAAAAATTCATAAATTGGTAATGGTAACCGAACCTTATAGAAACATCCTATGGTTGAACAATAGCTGCAGAACTACATCAGGGCTACTAAATGGCTTTTTTTTATCATCGATTGCTTTTTTGTAACAAAAAAAGAAATTCTATGCCATTTGATTGAGTTTTGGCTACTAACAATGACTTAATAATGCTATGTAGCTATAATTATGGTTCATCAATGATATTTGGAAGTTCAATGATTACGCCAATATTCAAAGGTATTGATTACCTAGAGGTGGATTGTCCAAGCCATCTTAAGATGAGATATATCTCAAGTTTTGAATTAAAAAGATAGGCCACTGTTAAAAAGAAACAATACTTAATTTACGCCACCAATGCGTTTAAAATTGGTCATTTTCCAAATAAAATTGTCAGATTTACCAAATTAAGCATGACGCAGGTTTGTAAACTGAAAAACAAAGCAATTTTCATGTTTACGTTAATAACAATCTCATATGTACATATTTTACATTATTTTACTAGGCAGTTTTGGTACTAATTGTAGAGGCGGTAGCCCTGACTACTCTTTCATGTCAAACTAGTCGTAAGAAATAGTATCACTTTCATTATTATTCATTTAAATTACTTCTCCCTGACTTAGATCGACCAGTCAACTTTCGGCCATTACAACCGGTTAACGCTCACGCTGACCGAAAGCTTGAAATACTTCGGCCATTCCTCCAGAGATGAATAAAAGCATTGCACAAATGACGCCACAAAAAGGTGATGGCTTTGCAGAGCTCGAAAGCAAGAAACTGACTGGCCGGTGATCTCAAACGCTAGCCACGTTGAGAAGAACGAATAATTGACGTGATCAAAAGTCTTTTGTTCAAAATTAATACAAAAATGCCACTGAACGTCGGTATCGTCTGCATATGTGAGCTCAACAACAAGCATAAATGAATTCGGCTTTCGTACTAAAGCGTTATTCTGCGAGGCCTTAAGATTCAGATAAGGCAAAGCAACTTCCTCTATCATCATAATTTTTCATCTTCCCCAAATCCAGCTTTATCTAATAACTTTAGATATTCTAGTCTTTGCGTTGCGGCTTTTCATACTCTCAACAGGCTATACGACGGAACTTTTCCTATAGCCCTTCGATTTTTCTTCATTGTCGTGTCCTTCATCGTTGGCTTTGGTTACAAAACCATTCATATGGCTACTTTTCCTCTTCTCTAAATCTTCAATGCTTAGTTCTTCTGTTGAAAGCCTGCGAGGAAATAAATCAGAATAATCCTTTCCTTGAGTTTCTACAGGGTCGACTGACGAAGGACTGGACCGAGTCCTTCCTTGGTACGCTCGCCATGATGTTATTACGCGTCTCTTCAGGGCCTCTATTCGAGCCTAGAGTAAAATAATAATGATAAAAAAGAAAAACATTTATTTATTGTAAGTTTGATTATAACACTAAAATCTAAAAAAAATCTGATTTCGAAAGGTTAATGTTCGCCATGCTAGAATTCACGGACGGAAAAGTTGGTGGCCTTTGAAGCAGACTGCAATTACTACTTATACCCTGATGATGATGATGATGATGATGATGATTCTTATGCTGATGATGAAGAAAATAATTTCTATGATGATGATGATGACGATGAAGATGATGAAAACAATAATAGTTTTACAAGCAAAAGTTTAATTACCTTATTTTAAGAATTTTCAGATACGAAATAATTGTAAAATAAGGTATTGTATGATTGTTTTAGTAGATTTTAATCTATTTTGAAGAAAAAAATAGATACATAGTATATAAGGAAATCGATTACATTCGTTCAAAACTAACTATCTTTGAAAACCCGGTTGCTATTATATCGTTACCGTCAATAGCCATCATTGTTCATAGGCTTAAAACTGAAGCTACATTGCCGTTAAAGCTCATCTTGGAGGGATCTGTCCAAAAAGTACAATTATTATTATTTTTTGTTTTATGACTCATTTATTAATTTGTTTATCTATATTTATGACCTCCTTCTCCTCTTAGGACCTACAATAAAAGCTTTTATAACTGCAGTTATTAGTTATCATCTGCGAAAAATATATATATCAACCAGTCTTTACTACCTCTTTGTTATTTTGCCTTGTATCCTTGTGAGCCTCGATAAAAAGCTCGCCGAGTAACACAAGCACACTGGTAACCATACCAAAAATCACACAGTAAAATACACCTGACAAGTCTGTAAACGTGAGCACATCCCCAGATGTGTTAATAGAAGAGGTGGACTCTGAAACATAAGAAACACATAATTGCTTGAATCGCTATGTGTCCAAAAAGTCTCAGGGTATTCCTTAGTTCGGCCAAAAAATGTTTCTCCGTTTGTTGCCTTATTTTGTTATAGAGTGTGTGATAGCATTGTTCTCTTCGATCCTTTATCCGCAAGAAACGCCCGTTGTTCAGGAAGGTAAAATATAAAAAATCGATCAATTTAGGTTTCTCGGGAACGGCCCACCTACCCCTCCCCTAAGCCATCATTTTGCCCAAAGTGAGAAGTAAGTGTTAATTTTAGTTTAGGGGAGGGGTAGGTGGGCAGTTTCCCAGAAACCAAAATTGATCCAAGAATCTTCAATTCCTAGGGAATAGAAAGAGGGTTGACCTATTAAAGATCTTTTACGTAGTGAACTAAATATTGGGATAGTAAGGTAATAACGCATAATCACAGAACAATTTTCCATTTATAACTAAAGTATCTCATGTGCGGTCAAGGACTTGCATATTTGTATATTAAAATTAAGGTAATGAGACCACTTACGTGACTCTGTGTCCTTCTCGCACGTTCCACTCAGCCATTTTGTTTTCATTGTTTCCATGTAGCCCTTCTGTCGGAGCTCCAGAACATTGACGCTAAAATGCTGAGTAAATGGAGAATTCTTCTGAAGGCCAAAACCATAACCAAACTTGCCAAAAATCCTGTAGACAATAAACAGTCAAACTCAACACTGCAGGAAGGCAGCAAACAACCCAAGTGAAAGACGCTAGCTGGTTTATAGTGCACCAGCGAAACTTAAATCTGGGCGATCACAATATCTCATTTAATGACTACTAAGTAATCAATGAGATTAAAATCACAAACTCGCCGTGTTCACAGCAAAAAGCCTTATTTAGAATTGTGAAAGGGGGTCTTAAAAAATATAGTTACCTTCCCATCGTATGGAGAGTGTTGCATGGTGGTTGTTGAACATGATATTCGAGCACTGGCGAATCAAATATAAAGGCGAAGTTTTCCTTTCGAACCCTTTTTATTCCCTCCGTGGCATTCCTGAGGATTGTGCCACTTGACTTCATATACTCCCACATTGTGACATAGGTTGGAATACTTGAAGACTGGAAGAATGTTTGTGTCTGACCCTCTCCAGGGATTCCGTACTCGATCTTAGTTTGACGTGCTAGGTCTTCCACTGATTGGATTGGGGTCTGAAATCGTTGAACGATCAAAAATGATGCCAGATTCGCTGTATATGTGGCACCTTCGAAAAAAAAAAGGATTTTTTTTTGGTTTAAAATAACGCATGAACTTGATAGCAGTTTCGGTTTGGGCCTAATCGTTCGTCTCTTCTCATTCCACTCAGAATATTGGCACATAAAAACGTTCAAAGACTTCGAAATTCAAAGTGGAGCTCAAGCCCGTGCGCGGATCGGAGCAGTAAGGTACGTAAATAGGGGATTGACCCATGCGAAAACCTTTGGTCGTCACGTGAAGGTCAGGCTGAAGCCAACGGGAAATTCCACATCAGTTTACACAATATTTAAATAACAAGAATACGATCTTTCTGTCGCACAATCAGAGCACACGGAAAACACTATCCGATGTTTTAGTATATAGTGATTGGAATTTATATATATTATTCTATTCAAAGCCGATTGACAGGTGTCGAAATAATATATCCTTCATCTTCCGTGATTTTAATGCTTCTGATGTACTTCCTATCAAGATGACACATGCTTTGAGATCTTTTAATTTTTTCATCGGGTTAATAGAGATAAAAAAAAATCTATCAAGTATTCAGTATTTAACAGGAGCTCTGCTTTTAGGCTTTGCTAGATTTTTGTATTAAGATGATTACTATAAACACTTGGTAAATACCTATTATCAGTACTGCAAACCACCAAACACCCACAGCGATTCTTCCGGATAATGATACCGGATGTAAAACATCAGGACCTTGACTGACATAATAGGCAAACGAAGACCAAATGGCGTTATAAAACCGCAAATAGCCTTTGGTTCTCAGTTCTTCCCTTTTAACAGTTCTCTGGTCGCTTGCCTGAGCCACTCTTCCATGGTAACCATACGGACTGAAAGTACTGTGGAACCACAGAAACACACCGACACCTAAAGTGCTAAAAACTATTGCCAACCACAGATTAAAGTCAAATGGACGGAGAAACGAAAACACTTTGTATTTACTGTCCTCCTCTTTCCTCATAACTATTGACAGACCAACGTCTAGGAAAGGCTGAGTGAAATCAATGACTGTTTGTCGACTGGAACTGATTGTGAAAGGACCAATTGCAAGGTCTGCTTTCTGCGAGAAATAAAAATTGTGGTATTTAGCTAATTCTAACCACTACGATAAACCTTGAATTAAACTATATAAAAAATCTAATTGAAACGGGGATTTCAGGACGAACAACTCGGCGAAATAGCTGGAGGAAACAGATAAGCTCTGTTACGTAAGTCGGAAGACAGTTTTACTCATTTTTTTTAACTTAAAAGGCGCGTTAGTTATTAAGTAGAAATTTTCATATTTCATGAAGTTAAGAGTAAACTTCTCGTCAGTGACGGCGGAAGGCGTGTAGATTGAAGGAACGGAAACAGATCATACTGAGACATGTAGTAGGCCGTTCCGTAGCTCCCGTGTCTCCCACTCTATAGGACACTGAAGCCAAAGAGAACTCTACAGCCTTAGATTCAAGGATCTCATAACCATTCAGCAGTGGACATGATTGCCAATCCGTTTAAAGCGATCTTAGGGATATAAAAAGGCTAGGCTAATACTACTTACATCGTCCATGAGATGTCTGACCATTCCATTCCACTTCCCAGAGAACACGTTTGGCGCCCCATACATGTTATTAGGAGACACTTCTATCGTGTACCTGAATTTCATACTTTCCTTAAGCTTTTCAAGTAAGTCAATACACAATCCATCGTAAGTCGTCTTCCCACTCTTTGATTGCTTGACGAAAACGAATGGTTTTTCCTAGACGAAGTAATGTAACATTTGGTCACTACAACAATAAAAGCAATTTACATTTGTCAAGAAAACAAATTATATTTTGTGCTGAGCCGCAAAATAGCAACGCTACTCTATTAATATTTTACAATCATTTACAATTTAAAACCACACAAATTTCTTTACATTACAGTATTATTTGTACTGTATACTAAATACTCTGTCAAAAGTTTCTCTCTCGGTAGGTTAATCGCCTAATGTGATAAAATGTTTCCGCCTCGGAAAATCCGTGATTTTCGAAGTCAATGTTGTCAGTCAACGAAATAAGAGTTCAATTCAATTCAATTCTTTATTCACACTATACAAGATATTTACAAAAGTGTACATAGTAGGAAAATAAAGTAGCTACAAATAATAATTAACTAAAAGATATTAAGTTCATTTGTGTACGGTGTCCAAAGTAGCAAGAGCTTTCTTGTTGGACACCGTCATATTGAAATAATTGGCAGCAGTAAAGAGTGGAATAAAATCTCAAATAATATCAGTGATAGAACATATACTAAGGTCAGATTTGGTTGGTTAGAAGACAGGACTTCCATTCTTTTTTAAACTTATGATATGGCAGACACTTGACAAGGAATTATTTAAAAACATATCAATGAATAATTAGGATAATGAATAATTAGGATAATGAGGAAATTCACGATGCTGATGAGTCTAGTATGATGGTTGCAACCATTGAAACTGAGTTTCATTATGAACTGTAACGTCCAGTCGTCGACGTAACGAGATTCAAAACAAGTAAGGAGTGGTACTTGCAAATCTCCAGCGAGGCATAAAACGAAAATGGATTAGAAGCCACAAACAAGGCTATTAAAAAAACATAAACAAAATGAAAATAACAAAACTGACGGATACTTACTATGACAGTGACTACCCTAATGGTTGTGTTTTCAACAACTGCCGAGCTATCTTTGGGAACTGCTACAGAGCCTGAAAGCCAATAGACAGGCTTCCGAGGATCCATCACTACGCCATCTCGTGAGCTCCAGCGACCGACCTGCACGTGTACAATAAATCAAAACTTTCTTAATAACCATTAACAAAGCACAAACAAGGACCCTAGTTTTCAAACATCGGGCGTATAAGTGCGTCTTTCTGCCTAATCACTGATTACCACTCTTTTATCATTGCCTTAGAAGTGGACACGTTATTGTTGTCACTGATCCCATGTAAGTTTCAAGCCTTTCCCTATCCTTGGGGATCAGGCATTTCTCAGTGTAAAGAAAAATGTGTCTTTGTGAAATTTTTAATTTCATTTAGAGTTTTAGACCTTATTCTTACCAGGCTTGGTGATTGTTTTATTTAACATTATTAAACTTGTCGCAATATCAGTGAATGAAACAGCGATGGCCGGATGTGCTCGCTGAAAATAAAGGCAATAAATGGCAGGCACAGAAACAAAAATATAAGTCGATTTAAGTGAGTTAAAAAGAGAATAAAAAGAAAATTGTTTTCTTGGTGACCTGAATGAATCCAGTTCTTGCGAAGTTAACAATATCATATTCAGCATATACGGGGGAACCATTTTCATCAAATGAAAGCGGTGACATTATACCATCCATGGATACCTGGATAAAGAAGAGGAGAAAGAAAGAAAAAAAGAAAAGATAAATTGAGCTTGTTGAAAAGCTTTATGTTACATTTAAATTTCTTATTTTCCTCCACGTACATTTTTAATGTATTCCATAAGTGTTCTCCCTGGTTTCCAAACATTGCTGGTGTCTTCGCTGTCAAAATTGAATCCCAGTGAGGTTTCCTTGACATTAGACCCATGCTTTATCATTCGATCCAACGCAACCGCCACGACATATGCCGCATCGTAACTCTTTCCCCCAGGTGTCTGCGAAAAAATATAGATGTTTTCAAGATTAGTTTTGTGTGTAATTGCTTTTTTAACAGTTACGAGGCGCTTGATCCGATTGATCCACACATCGAGCAAGTGACTATCGGACTGTGTTTCGAGCATAGGCGTACGGGCCGGGGGGGCGAGGGGGGCTGCAGCCCCCCCAAATTTTGGGCAACTCAGATTTTTTGGGCAGCTAGAGAAAATTTGGGCAAAGCCAGGTTTTAAAGACGTTTCGCTGTTTTTTTTTTTAATGTTATTTTGAAGAGATAAATATTTTATATTTTATTCTGACAAAAATCCTGACGTCGGTCGACGTAATAATCAAGTTACATTCTCTCGAGACATAGGTTGTCTAGCACGTGATGAGTTTCTGGTTAATAGGAAAGGGTATCACACGTTGATTTACATATTTATAGTTTTTTAAAGTGTTTAGTTGAGGTAAAAAAACCACTGCAAAAACCGTGTACGATCAATCCTGCTCAACGTCGGATCCGAAAAGATCGTGATCAGTCAAAATAGATCAAAACGTTACAGTCAAGAAGACTTCTGCAGGGACTGATCAAACAACATGAAATAGAGTTAAGTTGCGATATTTCGACTGGCCAATACCAGTCTTCATCAGGTTTATATCAGGTTTTTTACTGTTGAGCACTGTACTGCACTGCACTAACTGGAATGGGCTCTCTCCAGTCGTGAATTGATTAGAATAAACTTCCGCATATCTTAATAGAATCATCTCCCGCTCGTAGAATAGTGTATGGCAGATAGCATCAGCAATAGATCTGAAAATGAAGAAGTGGCTGACTGGTTCTCAGTTCGATAACGGCCAAACAGCAAGATTTTCGTTTTTTACCATATTTCTAACGATGAAAACGTCATTCCAAAATATCCCAATAACACTCTCACAGTTTCCGTTTTAACTTCACGAACATCGAGGCGACTATTTGAGGAAAAAGTTTCCGTGAACGATTTTGTAAGAACAGTTCCCTGTGCCGAGAAATATTACTGCAAGTAATATAGGCAATGGCGTCATTTAGTTGCTATGACAACTCCGATGTCATTACATTCCTGATCATGCCAAATTTTCAACTTTATCTAATAAAACTGTGGTGGCAATTTTTCCAAATGTTTGTCTATGGCGACGTAGTTATGCTCAGAATTGGGAGGTATTGACCCTGAAAAACTGTTACAGTATCGCGCCACCCTCATATGCCAGTGCGGCCTCTGTTGTTGCATCGTATGGCCCTCGTTTCTTTTCGACTGTACGATTCCGAAAAATTCGGGCAACTTGCGAGAATTTTTTGGGCAAATGGTTTACCGCCCCCCCCTGGCAAAAAATTTCCCGTACGCCTATGGTTTCGAACTTCCTCACTCTGTAACGTAACATGATGCCGCCGAATAATTTCTTGAACCGCCTTGTCACTGACTGAATGAACATATTCCCATGTACCCCACGCTTAAAATTTACTATCACATTTCTATCATTATGATAGTAAAATTCATAGAAATTTGTTCACAGGGACGAGGGACGGGGCGGAAGATCTGACTGATCCGCGCACTTGCGCTGATGACTAAGAGGAAAACCAAAATAAGGGGACTGCGTTCCGCTCTACTTCACTCTGTATCTGATGACCACGAATCATTTTTGCCGCGTGATTGTAGAAGTCAAGTGGCAAAATAGCAGCTGATCCCTTGATTTCATATTTACTTCTTGAGAACGAATTACGGAATGACTCAGTCTATGTTCACACTAAACCGGGATAGCTTTTCGTGCGGACACTAAAAGCTATCCGGTAAGTATGATCACCTATCCGAAAAGTGACTCTCCACTTTTAGAGGTCTGCACGACTTGGCACAGCTTCGCTCCGTTACAGGAGCCCTATCCAGTATACCACCGCGGTCAAACGTCTAAATCGTTATTTTTGATTTTTATTGCTGGGATTTCATTTACCAGTTAGAGAAAAATGGGCAAAGATGTATAAATCAGTTAGTCAACATAACTATCTTTCCATTTTTCTCAAAATTTTGAGCTTTTTTCGCTGAAAACGCTTCGCGCTAAAAGAGAATCATGTTTGGAAATGGCGCCGATAATAACGTCAGCATCGGTTTTCAATCACTTACAACTTTTTTAGTAAACTTTTAAAAAGTTTAGTAAACTAACAGGATGTTGGTAATACCCTAACCTTTCGATAGTGAAAGTAGCAACCTTAACTTTGAAGTATTTCGCTTAACTTTTGCAAATTTCACTCGTTTGACCGCTGTGAAATCCAGTATGGTTTTCGTGCCGGGGCAAAAGCTATCCGGTAATAGTGTGAGCATAGCCTCAAATTATATCCCCACACATTTGCCCTACACCTCCCTGGACTATCATAATCAAACCCCGTGATATCGTTAGAGTCGTTATCGTTAACGTTAGGATATCTCGAAAACGCTTACACTGACTTGTCCGTAGCCTTTTGCTCTCCATTTTGTACTGAATTCTGGGTAGAGCTTGCCAGCGCCAAATGATGGTCGTGTACCAATTACACCGTAAAAGTTATGGAGTGGATAGTCCCCGGGGACCAACTTCCAGTCCTAAAAAGAAGACATATTTTGTTTAAAATTTTGCACAATTAAAATCTGTTTAGTCCTCCAGTCTATGCAGACCAAATAGCGTCATTGAAAAGCAGTCCGTAGAGGCTTTCAAAGAGGCCGTCATTTGCCATCTTTAAAAACGCTGACGCTGTAATTGTATTTTTAACATAAGCACTTGCACATCTGCACATCTGCACGTCTACCGTGATGGAATATACCCTTTACAGATTACTTACTTATAGATATATAGATAGACCATTGCGAATTCGCAGCTGAAATAACTGAAATTTGTGTTTAAACATGTTTTAATCTCACCAAAGATTAAAACTGGGTTCTGGCTATTGTTTCAGGTTTGTGTTTTGTTGTTTTGTTTTGTTTTTGGTAGTATATAGAACATCACACTATAAGTGCAGACCAGCAGCAGCATTTTTTGTACACTTCCAAATTCTATAGCCGTGTAAAATTGTAAATTATTTATTTAAATTGCCTCCAATCAAACGTTAGAAGTATGTAAACTCAATACAGTGTAATTAATTTTTGACACACCCACTTCCTGCTCAACTAATAAGTATTCATAAACTTTCCAAACAGATCTATAGATTCTCAGTTTTGCTTACAAGCACGATAAAACATTCGCGTCCGATCTGTATGGGCTTGTACAGTGTAAACACCCAGCTCGTAAGTTGTATTTTATTTACAATAAGTTTGTGTTTCTTTTCGCAACTTCGTAAGTTACGTGTTTAAAACTTTGATGACCTTCTCTCAATTTATTTCTTCACTCCGCAGATCAAAGATATGAAATTCATATATTCATAATTCCATCCTCTTCTTTCCCCGGTATAATATATAGATTTAGCCAGGGCTAAAAGCGAAGCCTCCGTTTCTATACTTATGATAAAAACAATAAAATTTAAAAGTAATAACATGAACTCTAAGTCAAGAAAAAAAATCTTCACATCCCTATTAATTGAACTGCAGGTCAGCCTTCGGCATGAGTTCATCTTTTGAAGGAAGGGCTAAATGATTAAGAAAAAATGTCCCCCAAACAGACCTGAATTGAAAAAATTGTGAAATTGTAGGTCTCTTCAATAACAGCAAATTACATGTTACGATATGTAGAGTCGGTGTTTCTGTGTTTTAGGGAAGACCTAAAAGGAAAATCGGGGCGACTAAGGAAGTTTTGTCTTCCCGTAAGCCCATTATATTTTCTTTTCTTCTTTATTTTTTTTAACGGGCCCGGACAAACAGTTATGTGTAGCCTTTACATTTATACCTCACAATATCTGAAAGAAAACTTTAATTTACCGTAAGGTGTATAACATTCTCTTTGAGGATAGACATAAGAAAGCAAACGATAACCTTTTCTCTACTAACTGTAACTGGCTGCAACTTACAACTTTGCATTTAAAAAAAAAAAAGATAGACAAACTTGACCGCGAAAAGCCGACGAGTCTGTCGTTAGAATAGTGGACAACTCTTTCATATTTTAGATAAGCCCCCTTTTTCAGCGTGAAAATTATAACAAAGCCGTAAACGAACAACTGAAAACAAAATGCAGTAAACTTCATTCAAGCGGTATTCAGCTGTATTCCGGGTACGAGTTATGGAGAAAGAGCAGCAAAACTGCAAAAATTCTTGAATTCTACACACTGCAAAATTCTTCAATGGCAGATAATTGAATAAGAAAATGAATAGCAATAAATGGAAGATGTACAGTTTTAATGCTTCAGTTTTAATGCATCAGTCAATTTCACCTGCGCCCAGCCCCCCCCCTCCCCGGCTACTTCGGGGAATTTGCAAATTTTGCACTGCCCGGGGGCTGGGCATTTGCCAACCCCGGGGCCATTCCCGAGCTTTTGACACGCATGCAGTTTCCTGTCAGAATATAACTATACACATGCTTTTACTGGAAAAAAAGCAGATTGGCATATCTGTCAAGGACAGGAATAAATTGAAGAGGGTTATAAAGGCATGTTCTCCATTTTATGCGTGCATTTCTTCATGGCTTGTCAAGCCAGAATTACATAGCGAAAACCTGAGCTATTGATGTGAATCAACGTTTCTTGGTTATTGAATCAAATTTCGGTTGATATTATTTGAAGAACATCTTTTCATATTTATAAAACTATTCACAACATATAACGTTGCAGCGCTCTATTAATTTTAATGTCAATAATTTTATATCAACACTGGGCGCAGCTGGAATTGACTGATGCATAATTGATATTCAAGAAAGGAGAGTAGTCCGTCTGAAGTGTTTCTAAAAATCTCACGGTTGTTTTTTGAGCTAATGTTATGAATGAACAATGACAGATAAATAACTTAATTTCTTGAAACTTTTTAATAAAAAACCCAAAAGTTAATTCTAAAAAGCAATTTGCGTAACAAAAACTGAATCGTGAATACGTTCACGCAAGTTAAATCGGCTGAGCACATGGTAAAAAATCAATTTAAAATGCACATTTTGTGGTTTTTCTTTCACGACGATGTCAAATCTTTTAAAAACGTTTAGTTCCTTGACCATGAAGTAGAGAATGTGCCTCAAGGTTCTTCAGAATCCTCGCTGCCTTGGTTGGTTCAAAACAAGCCAAAGATTAAAACTGGATTCTGGCTATTGTTTCAGGTTTGTGTTTTATTGTTTTGTTTTCTTTTTGGTAGTATATAGAACACCACACTATAAGTGCAGACCAGCTGCAACATTTTTTGTACAGTTCCAAATTCTATAGCCATGTAAAATTGTAAATTATTCATTTAAGTTACCACCAATCAAAAGTTAGAAGTATGTAAACTTAATACAGTGTAATTAATTTTTAACACACCCACTTCCTGCTCAACTAATATGTATTTATAAACTTTCCAAACAGATCTATAGATTCTCAGTTTTGCTTGCAAGCACGATAAAACATTTGCTTCCGATCTGTATGGGCTTGTACAGTGTAAACACCCAGCTCGTAAGTTGTATTTTATTTACAATAAGTTTGTGTTTCTTTTCGCAACTTCGTAAGTTACGTGTTTAAAACTTTGATGACCTTCTCTCAATTTATTTCTTCACTCCGCAGATCAAATATATGAAATTTATATATTCATAATTCCATCCTCCTCTTTCCCCGGTATAATATATAGATTTAGCCAGGGCTAAAAGCGAAGCCTCCGTTTCTATACTTATGATAAAATCAATCAAATCACAGTAAAAGTAATAACATGAACTCTAAGTCAAGAAAATAAATCTTCACATCCCTATTAATTGAACTGCAGGTCAGCCTTCGGCATGAGTTCATCTTTTGAAGGAGGGGCTAAATGATTAAGAAAAAATGTCCCGCAAACAGACCTGAATTGATAAAATTGTGAAATTGTAGGTCTCTTCAATAACAGCAAATTACATGTTACGATATGTAGAGTCGGTGTTTCTGTGTTTAAGGGAAGACCTAAAAGGAAAATCAGGGCGACTAAGGAAGTTTTGTCTTCCCGTAAGCCCATTATATTTTCTTTTCTTCTTTATTTTTTTTAATGGGCCCGGACAAACAGTTATGTGTAGCCTTTACATTTATACCTCACAATATCTGAAAGAAAACTTTACCGTAAGGTGTATAATATTTAATTTTCTTTGAGGATAGACATAGGAAAGCGAACGATAATCTTTTCGCTACTAACTGTAACTGGCCGCAACTTACAACTTTGCATTTAAAAAAAAATAGACAAACTCGACCGCGAAAAGTCGACGAGTCTGTCGTTAGAATAGAGGACAACTCTTTCATATTTGAGATAAACTCACTTTTTCAGCGTGAAAATTATAACAAAGCCGTAAACGAACAACTGAAAACAAAATGCAGTAAACTTCATTCAAGCGGTATTCAGCTGTATTCCGGGTACGAGTTATGGAAAAAGAGCAGCAAAACTGCAAAAATTCTTGAATTCTACACACTGCAAAATTCTTCAATGGCAGATAATTGAATAAGAAAATGAATAGCAATAAATGGAAGTTGTACAGTTTTAATGCTTCAGTTTTAATGCATCAGTCAATTCCACCTGCACCCAGCCCCCTCCCCCCCCGCCCCCGGGCTACTTCGGGGAATTTGCAAATTTTGCACTGCCCGGGGGCTGGGCATTTGCCAACCCCGGGGCCATTCCCGAGCTTTTGACACGCATGCAGTTTCCTGTCAGAATATAACTATACACATGGTTTTACTGGAAAAAAAGCAGATTGGCACATCAGTCAAAGATAGGAATAAATTGAAGAGGGTTATAAAGGCATGTTCTCGATTTTATGCGTGCATTTCTTAATTGCTTATCAAGCCAGAATTGCATAGCGAAAACCGGAGCTATCGATGCGAATCAACGTTTTTTGGTTATTGAATCAAATTTCGGTTGATATTATTTGAAGAACATCTTTTCATATTTATAAAACTATTCATAACATATAACGTTGCAGCGCTCTATTAATTTTAATGTCAATAATTTTATATTAACACTGGGCGCAGCTGGAATTGACTGATGCATAATATTCAGGAAAGGAGAGTAGCCCGTCTGAAGTGTTTCTAAAAAACTCACGATTGTTTTTTAAGCTAATGTTATGAATGAACAATGACAGATAAATAACTTAATTTCTTGAAAACTTTTAATAAAAAACCCAAAAGTTAATTCTAAAAAGCAATTTGCGTAACAAAAACTGGATCGTGGATACGTTCACGCAAGTTAAATCGGCTGAGCACATGGTAAAAAATCAATTTAAAATGCACATTTTGTGGTTTTTCTTTCACGACGATGTCAAAATGTACAGAACTCCTCTTTTAAAAACGTTTAGTTCCTTGACCATAAAGTACAGAATGTACCTCAAGATTCTTCAGAATCCTCTCTGCCTTGGTGGGTTCAAAACAAGCCAAGCGCTACTATCCGCCGTGTAGAAACAAGGTTGATTTCTTCGAAAGACAATTTCATAGGGAAAAGCTTTCGTTTGTCCACAAAAAGGAAAGTGAGTATTCCATTGAACTTTCTCTTTCCATTTGTGTATTTCTTTGGCGTATTTTCAATCTCGAAATGCAAAACTTTAGTCTTGAAAACCACCACTTGATTAACGCTCGCCAGCCATTTGTTAAAGGATGACATTTACTGAGGTGTCAAATCCGTTTCTTCCTCCACCCCCTAATGGTTAACATAACCATTGGACGTATGTGGAGGAGGGGGGTATGGGTGATTTTGAGATAATAATTTTTTCCCAAACCACTGGAGTTAGAAATTTTTCCCCCCACATGACGCTGTAAGATTTTTTTTCAGCATTATACGTCATGAGTAATATTTTTTTTTTAGTGCAGGATATTGTTTTTCCCAGGAATTTCTTTGCATGCTTTTTTCCCCTCGAAATCAGTCTGCAGGAAATATTTTTCTGTAATCACCCATAAACCCCTCAAAATTCAAATAGTCGGCCCCTAATGTCCACCAAACATTTGCTCAGTTGACAGATTCTGATTTGCCATCATTTCGCAACTGCATGAGTTGCCTGTTTAACTGTGATGATTTTCCTGTAGATCAAACTATGAAATTCATATACTCATTATTTCATCTACTATAAGCTGTTACCGTATTTGTAGAGCCATCTGTTACAATCCACACCCATTCTTTCAGCATTCCTATTTGTGAAGCTTTTGACAGTATAACGACAGTGTATCGTGCCATTGTGTTCAAGACAATAATTCGCGTTCGAGTTCTTCGTATCGCTTCCAACTGCGGGCTTACGTCAAGGTTACTGAAGTCACTGACAGGGTCAAAATGCTCATTCGCTGTGATTTTCCATCCCTTTTGATTGGCAATATCCTTTAACGTTAAAAGGCCATTTATGCCTAGAAACAGGACAAATAATGAACTATTAGACTTACTAAACAAGTTTAGATTGGCCTTACTTTCGATGGAATAAAACTGTTTTTTAAAAAAGGTATTCACCAACAGAAAAAAGCACTACTTTAAGGTATAAACGGGACTTAGTGGGTTTGGCAACACAACACAAAGGAAAACAAATATAGACCTAATAGACCTTGTCACGATTTTTGACGCCATCTTGACGATTAGGCAAACGTGTGAGAAATTACAGTGTTTGTATGAGAATCTAATGTCGAATAATTTCCGTAAAACGGCTTTTCAGAAAAAAAATATCAATTGTAAACTAAAGCTACAAAGGAAAGGATTGTACTTAAACATTTTTGGGGCGTAACTGTGCTTAAATTTCTCCAGAGGCTTGCTTTAGATTTTCCATATATTTGTCTGTAATTTTTCCCGGGAATTTCTTACAGACAAATGTATAGAAAATTTAAGAAAGTGGTTCTAGGTCTTCTAACGCATTTAACGCTCTAACTTTTTCCCGCAGAATCCTTAGGAGTGTAGCTTTAGTTTACAATTCACATTTTTTTTCAGACAGCCGTTATACGGAAATTATTCGACATTAGATTCTCATGCAAACACTGTAATTTCTCACAGGTTTGCCTACTCTTCAAGATGGCGTCGAAAACCGTGACAAGGTCTCTTGTAACAACCTTGGTAGTAAATTCGAAATGAAGTGGCCAAAACTTAAAACTATTTCATTAAAATGATATTTTGGTTATCACTGTTCAAAAGCTTAGAATGTCTTTCCAAATAGAGATTGAATCTTAAGACTCGAAATATTTTCAAACGGTTTTTAACAATATTATTGTTATTTTAAAAACATGACTTAATATTGCGTCTAAGCTTTAATTTTTGTAGTTTTAGTATTTTGAAGCCATTACAATATAGCGTTTATTTTTTCACAGCATCGATTTTTGACACCGCTAATTTTGAAACCAATTGTAAGTGTAAATTACTCCAGTAAATAAACGTAATTCACTCATTCATGAGAATAGTGAAAGAATCTAAAAGAGATTTAATAAGCAACTCGTTCTTGAAGTTTTTAAATATAAGTTGTAAACGGTTGATGGAAATGATTGATCTATCATGAAACTGGAATTAAGAATTCGATTCTCCTCTGAAAGTCATGGATTGTTTAAGCGAAGTTCCATTATCAAATAAAAACGTCAGATGTACATGCGACGACAGAATGAATAATTAAAAAGCAGTATTTAATTGCACAAACCATAGTCATCCTTGGAAGTTAACAGTGCAAATTGAGTCCAGTTATAATGTGATATGAGCCCTGCCAAGGCCCGACACTGAATACTGTCGCTCGGACTGAGGCGAGCAAGGAAAGGAAAGTTAGCCGGTGTGAATGAGAAGGTTGGATCTGTGGCCACAGGAGCAATTTGTGGTATGTTGAAGCCTGCGCAGTAGGGCTGGGTAAACTTGACGCCGGTTGATGTCATTGGACCAACTACTGCTACCACTCCTTGCTTCAAAAGATACTGAACTAGATAATTTTAAAAAAGCTTAATGAATGTTGAACTGACGCCAAAGTGAATGAGCTTGTAATTTTGAAATAAAACTTCAAATGGATACCTTTATCTGATACAACAAATAATTTTTCGTTTTGCCACTAGCTTTTCTACTACGAATACCCTGATTTATTTCTGTTACCAAGTAGACACTAGGGAGATCATCAAGCGAAAATAAAACCCGTGTGATGTGGAAAAAGGGTATTCTTCGCACTGGTCATTAAAATCGCTGCACATACTAACGTGGAGCCCCGAACAAGCCAGGTAAAAACCTAGTAACTCGCAAAATCCAAATCAATGGAGTATCATTCCTTTTCATTTCTGATAGTGAAAATTGGCCTCTAGTACGCTGCACTCTTCTACTTTAAAATTTTGGTTTTAAGAGGATAACAGTTTTAAATGCAAATTTCTCTTACTAAAGACATTAAAACTGCGGGGAGCTGCTTTATAATCGTGTTCCAAAACGTTATTGCAAGAAACCTAACCCACAAAAAATTCCATTATGTTGACAATTATGATGCTGAATTCGAAACTTCAGACTTGCGTGCAGAATGTATTTGTGTAAAAAAAAATTCTAAGTAACTTAATATGAACTGCTTTAGTTGCCTCATAGCACCGAAAACTATTCCTATTTTGCTTATTCTGTCGCTGAAGTGTACTTGACAATGTTTATGACCATCTACAACCACAAGAGAGATATACCGTAAACTGTAGTAGCGCGCCATTCGACTCCCGAAAAAAACTATAGCAAACATCCTTTCTGACAGAGCTCTTACCCATTTCAATATTTCTAAACGCATCTAGCGTAGCAGATTTGTTGACAATAACTTTGAGCTCGGTGGCTGCCAAAAGTGATGTGTCATCGTTTATGTTTTCAATGGCAAGTTTAAAGGCCGTCGCATAGTCAGCTTGGAGTCGATCAGAGAACACTGCACCTTTAAAAACAGGAAAGTACAGTCAACGCAAAAAGTCAATCGAAAATTTCAAAACAATAATAATGATGAATACTTGCCAATTCTAAGAAATGCAGGTGGCGAAATCCCTTGGCATTCACAAACACGTTTCAAGATGGAAATAGTTGTAAGAAGACATATCAAATCAAATACCACCGTCTTGAACATTTTTAAGGAGAGGCGATAACAACTTATAACATTTGACGTTCATCGAGATGCTAAAATGGTTCTGTATGCGAGATTCAATTGTAAACCGATGAAGGTGACAACATGCCGCGAGAGAGAAGTAATAACGCTATAAACAAGGCCATTTCAAGGACACATACTGAAGTCCATTGTACTTAACATGGCCAGCTTGAGACATTCGCTGCTGGACATCCGCTTCTTAAACTTTTATTATTAGTTTTGTCATGTTAATTTGGAGTAAAGAATAGAATGTTGATGCCTTTGTTCCAACGGTTAAATCATATCTTGCATAAAGATCTCGAAGCCAGGATACAAAAAGAGATAAATACTATAGAACGTTTTATGAAACTAAGGTAACACTTTTAATATTACAGTAGCTCATATAGTACGAAGAGACAGTATCTGAACTTAAAATACTTCAAGTCATCATTGGTCTCAGCAATGCCGGGAAAACAATCTCACGAATCATGGAGCAGACTGCGAGGATTATTTACATTACGGTGAAAACTAGAAAATGTGTAAACTATCAAATTTATTGCACCACGCAGGTGATATATATATATATGAGAAATGAGAAATGATCCTTTTTGTTTCGGGTGAAAGAAGAAAAAAAATAAGGTCAAGGTTGAGAAACTGGATAAGATTGTAGATTTTGCTTAAAATGCTTAATGCTTAATTCATTTTTCAAATGAATGAAAATCCCACGAGTTGGATGAAATATATTATAATTATCGTACTTAGTTATGTTGAACCCAATTCAGATAAGGATACAATGTTGCGTTTTTGTTATCAAACCGTTGGTATTAAGAGAAATAGTTAAGATGGTGCTTAAATGTTTAAAGATTCCTACTAAGTCGACAAGAATGGAAATGCTGCTTGTTCATCTATCTCGACGACAATTAAAGATTAGTTCACATTGAATACCATTGACAAGAAAAAAACGTGTTCATAGCTAGAGACAACTTCTATTATTTGATGTGCACTTTTTTGTGTGTTTCGCCCTTGCGTTCACAGTAAAATAATCAAAAACAAAGATTTTCGAAAGCGCCCCCAAATGACTGCATGGATACGTGTTGAAAATGGCGATCTCACAAGGTTTTGTGTGAACGGGCGAGGACGGAGGTCTTCCAAAACTCTGTTATCCTGTTATCCACTCAGGTTCCTTAAAGCATGGTTAAGAAAAAAAGATGGTTAAGCCATTGATTTTAGCAAAGTTTTCTAGTCCAGAAATATATCGCTGGAGATCATAAAATATCATCGAGCCTTTAGTCAGAGATTTAGATATGAACACAATATTTTAAACCTCTAAACAGTCCATATGAAGGTAAATGCGATCGTGGATTGAACGTTTAATTCTTGATAAGTGGTAACCGGCCGTTAAGGAAATGAGATTGGCTTGGGCAGGCTCCTAAATACGACATGTGTACAAAATCACGTTTGTCTTCTTTTCCGAGAATAGCCTGGAAACGAGACCCGACATGCTTTTTTCAACGGCTTGTCATAGCGGGCAAAATGATTATGCGAAAACGCTCAGAGTAGGGGAAAACGAGGGTGAGAGTGATTTATTGGCAAGAACGTTTCAAGTTTTGAGCATCATGAATATATATCAGTAAAGGTATAAATTTTCGTTAATCACCTTACCCAAAAATAATACTATCACCTGATAATGCAAAATAAATGGCGATAGTTTAACCTCTAATTAAGTAGTCCAATGATTAGCCAATCTGTAACAAAATAATAATAATTATAATAATAATACAAAACTTTATTCATAGATTTAAAAAAATAGACTATTTACAGATTCAAGAATATGAAATATTAAAATATATACACTATGAACATTCTTCTTGTGTACGAAATATTAAAATATATGCCCTATCTACATTTTTCTTGTGTACGGAAGAGAATTGTCGTAAAATGACTATCTAAAGACTACTAATAACAATTATAAAAAGCATCAAAAAGTTAATAAAAAAATAAAAATAATAATAATAATAGTAATAAAAACAATGATATTTCTTGCTAACTGTATGCTAACTGCTCAAAATTAAAAACAAGCAGAATATCGGTTGCTTTTTTCAAATAAAGTCGAAGAGAGTTCTAGATATTTTGTGAGCCGGCGTTTTTAATGAAATAATAGGGAACTTAAGAACCACGACGAAGTTCACGACGACGACGTCTGTTGACTGGGAAAAGACTGGAACGAGAACGTCGGTTTCGGCGGGAAAAAGGAAAGTTAAGATGCGGTCGGTCGGTAGGTCGACGACGACGACACTGAATGTAAACACAGATGTAAAACTGTGATGTTCGTTCGCAACAAAGTTTTTCGCAATGGCGTCTTTCAAAACAACGCAAGATCTTATTTGTTCAAGCCGTACGTCTAATTTCATTGACGATGAAAAATTTCTTGTGTTGTCTGACCTTTTCGAGTGGAAATACACCCGCTTTCCGTACGAAATTATTCAACTTTCAACTTGAATGAGATAGCCGCGTCCGAGTGTCCGTCAGATTTTAGATCTCGAAAAAGAGACATTCTGATGTGATAGCTGTTTTCCATATAAAGTTTATTTACTCTATATTAAAGATATATGATTTGCCTTACCTAAATCGTACAAATAAATTTATCACAATTCACTTACGAGTTCGCTCGCTCGGCCTCCTCAGCAGTTGTCATTCTTCAAAGTAAAATCAATTCATTTGTCGAATTTTCAATCAACATCGCTCGTTTGGAGAAAAAAGGAACGATACCTTGATTTAGGAGGACAAGAAAATGCAAAGGCCTTCAAAAATCGCTTAAAACAGTGGATTTATACCTGCCGAAGCTTGTGGATTGCAGGACAACGTGATTCTACTTTGTTTGTCGTCGTCGACGACACCACGACGACGAAATTTACTAGTGGCGCTTGCGCAGTACAGTGTAAATCACTTCCGGTCGTCGTCGACCAAGCCGTCGTCGTGGTTCTTAAGTTCCCTAATTATTCCACTCGCCCTTGTTGGATATGAGATGATTATAGCCAACCCATGATCATATCCAACTCGCACTCGTAAGATAATTGTTAAATAAAAATTATAGCTACTATAACCACTTGACGGCAATTTCCGTGTGACAAATCTGGAACGAGAGCATTAGTTTTGATTGCAGGAGAATATAGAAATCATTTTCTTATCACAGGCTTCGCGCATGCCCTCGTTTTCAAAAAGAGGCTTGGGGCTCATTATGCATTCATATGGGCTGCAACTGGCTTGGCTCTGGCACTTGCTCGAGAGCATCATTCACGTAATCTTATAGGGTGTCTTATAAGAAATCACCATTATTGAAGAAGTGGTACGACTCAGTTCCTGATATGATTCCATGACCAAAAATGTTCTTTCAACGGGGCTGATTCCTGGATTCAGTTGCAAGTCGGTCAATTATTAGATCACTACGCCTTGCAAACTTCACTCTTCAGGTTTGTTTATCCTTGCATTTATCCTTATCTACAGGATTTTGTGAGTTTTGTAACTGGACGTTTTTCATAATGTATTCTCCGTGTTGCATGATATGTGCCGCTGGATACACACTAACAGTTGCTACGCTAGTCATATTACGAAACCGTATCATATCGTTATCATACCGTAATGTGTCATTTCAGCTTAGAATTTACCTGCCCCAAAGTTTATTTGTTCGTTTTTATTTTAAAAAGAAGAAATGGGTTAATGAAGCTAGTCGTGTGGAGTGTAATGATGTAATAAAACTGCAAAATAGACGGTAAAGATAAGAACATTATAAAAATCCTAACACAATATACTGTTGACAAAAGGTGAAGGTAAAAGTTCACAAATATATCGAAAGTGCAGGCTTTAATCCCGTGGAACAAAAAAATAACATCGAAATCCAAAAATATAAGTTATCAGTGGAGTAGATACCTAGTTAACTGAAGGTAAATCACAATGATACTAAAAGAATGAAGAAATAAGCAAGTTAAATATACACTACTTCACTGCAACTCATGCAGTTTTTGAGATATCACCAAGAACTTATTTATTCCTGGATGTAAGATATATACTTTCTCAACAGAGCTACTAACTGTATTTTCTCTGTTATACATGTATGAATTTTCTTAGAGTTATGTATAAGTTTTCGTGGTAATTCTTACACCATCTTTCGCATCAACGCGGATTGGAACAATGCCATCGTAAGATATAGAAATGTAGATGATACCGGTTGTTTCCGTTTTTTATATATATATATATATATATATATTCCAGTGATTGTTTGCAGTAGCATTAAGTAATTAGTCCTCTTACAAAGTTGAAACAAAGCCCCATCATTCAGCTAGAGTCATCAGCGCTGTAAATGACATACTCTTCATCAACCAAACCGGCTGTTGTAAAGTAGAAAATCAATTAATTAGTTAAGCAGAGAAAGAAAATTTTGCTGAGGTAGGCTTTTTTTAATTGTAAAAAAAAACAAATGTTTATACCACAGTTGTATGAGCCATCCGACGCTAAATATTCAATTAGACGACCTTTCCGCACATCAAAGCTGGACGATGTTATAAATAATACTTTTAGGTTTGTTTGCGGGCTCTTTCTTTGTCTTATAAAATATTAAAGAGCTTTTTAAAAAGATGATTTCAGTAGAGGCTATTAGTTAAGGTATCATCCTGGGTAAAAAAAATCATCATTTTTCGAAATTTTCAATTTTTAGATGATTACGTAGAGCTCATCAAGAGCTTTCTTTTAAAAAATATTCCAGGAAAAAATTTTTTTTTCTGTGGAGACTTATGGAGCGCAAAAGTTTTTTCTATGCTAATT